ACTGGGCTCACCGGTGTAGTGCCGTCTTTTGGGTCCTTGCCAAACTTGCAGGACCTTGATCTTGCATACAACCAGCTTGAAGCAGGGGACTGGAGCTTCCTCTCATCCCTTGCAAACTGCACTCAACTGAAAAAGTTGGCCTTGGATGGCAATATTCTCCGAGGAAGCTTGCCTAGCTCAGTCGGTAATCTTCCCTCACAGCTCAACTGGTTGTTTCTCAAGCAAAACAAACTTTCTGGGACAATTCCATCAGAGATTGGTAACCTAAAGAGTCTCACTGTTATGTATATGGATAACAATATGTTTAGTGGGAGCATCCCACCTACCATTGGAAATCTTAGCAACTTACTGGTTCTAAGCTTTGCACAAAATAACCTCTCTGGCCATATTCCAGATTCTATTGGCAGCCTTTCCCAACTAACCGAGTTTTATATAGATGGGAACAACTTGAATGGGAGTATACCTGCAAACATAGGGCAGTGGAGACAATTAGAAAAGCTTGATCTCTCTCACAATTTCTTCGGTGGAAGCCTTCCAAGTGAGGTCTTCAACATTTCTTCCCTATCAAAAAGTTTAGATTTGTCACATAATTTGTTTACTGGGCCCATACCACTAGAAATTGGCAACCTCATAAATCTTGGAAGTATCAGTATTTCAAACAATCGCTTGAACGGCGAAATACCGTCCACTCTAGGGAAATGCGTGCTTTTGGAATACCTTCACATGGAAGGGAACCTTCTTACTGGAAGCATTCCACAATCTTTCATGAACTTAAAAAGCATCAAGGAGCTGGATCTCTCTCGTAACAGCTTGTCAGGAAAAGTTCCAGAGTTCCTCACTCTCTTAAGTTCTTTGCAGAAACTCAACCTTTCATTCAATGATTTTGAAGGGGCAATACCATCAAATGGTGTCTTTGGTAATGCTAGCAGGGTTATCTTGGGTGGGAACTACAGGTTGTGTGCGAATGCTCCAGGGTATGGCCTGCCCTTTTGCCCTGAATCAGGATCACAAAGTAAAAGCAAGTCTACTGTTTTGAAAATAGTAATTCCAATCGTAGTGTCTGCTGTTGTAATTTCATTGTTATGTTTAACGGTTGTTCTCATGAAGAGAAGAAAAGAAGAACCAAATTTGCAGCACTCCAGTGTGAACTTGAGGAAAATATCATATGAAGATATTGCCAAAGCGACAGATGGGTTCTCTGCCACAAATTTGGTTGGTTTGGGATCCTTTGGGGCTGTTTACAAGGGCCTTCTGGCATTTGAGGACAACCCAGTTGCTATTAAGATTTTCAATCTCAACAAGTACGGAGCACCCACAAGCTTCAATGCGGAGTGCGAGGCATTAAGATATATTCGCCATCGAAATCTTGTCAAAATCATTACTTTATGCTCTACGGTTGATCCAAATGGCTATGATTTTAAAGCACTTGTCTTTCAGTATATGCCAAATGGAAGTCTAGAAATGTGGCTACATCCAGAGGACCATGGCCTTGGTAAGCAGAGATTCCTAACTTTGGGTGAAAGGATTAGCTTAGCCTTGGACATTGCATACGCTATAGATTATCTTCACAACCAGTGTGTATCCCCACTAATACATTGTGACATCAAACCAAGCAATGTTCTTTTGGATCTTGAAATGACTGCATATGTCAGTGACTTTGGGTTGGCAAGATTTATGTGTGCTAATTCAACAGCAGAGCCTAGTAACTCTACAAGTTTGGCTGACTTAAAAGGATCCATAGGATATATTGCACCAGGTGAGAGAAATTGGAAACTTATACTGATTTATTGACTTGTATGCTTCAGCCATCCTATTAACTTATCCAATGTTACATGGATTGTAGTTTTCCACAATTCACCTTTCTTATGTTTTCAAATGAAAATGCAGAGTACGGAATGGGTGGGCAAATATCAACGAAGGGTGATGTCTACAGCTATGGAGTACTGTTGTTAGAGATATTAACTGGAAAGCGTCCAACCGATGAAAAATTCAATGATGGTTTGAGCCTCCACGATCGCGTGGATGCTGCATTACCCCACAGGGTAACCGAGGTTTTAGACCCCAATATGCTACACAATGATTTGGATGGTGGAAACTCCGAACTGATGCAAAGTTGTGTCCTCCCACTGGTTAAGGTGGCGCTCATGTGCTCCATAGCATCACCGAAGGACAGGTTAGGGATGGCACAGGTTTCCACTGAAATAAACTCCATCAAGCAAGCATTTGTTGATCTTTCCAGTGGAGGAAAAATGGTTTGAGTAATAATTAGACCTAGGCAGTACATTTGACACTCCATCAAGCAAGCATTTCTAGCTAAGTTTGCCTTTTTTTTCTTATTTTTCCTTCCTGAAATTAGTGCAAAGACTGCAAAGCTGTTCTGCATTGCAACTATTATGTACAGCTACTTTCATTACCATAATTAAGTCCACACAGAATCAACCTCTTGGTCCTAAAACTTGTTTGGGTCAGCAGCAAATGCAATGGTCAGCAAACAACAGACAGCAGGCTGGAACACACCAAAATATTGTTCTAACTTAAAAAACCAATAATTCTGCAGTGGTTAATCAGCAGCACAACTCACAACATGCAGGCATAAGGATATGCATAGAGCAAAATGGGCACACATGTGCGTGCGTGCGTAAGTACTGCGTGCTACTCCCACAGAGGCATTTCCACAAACATGCCACGCGCATTCAAAGGAAACACAGGAAATTGAGATTACAGTTACAGGCACACGCAAGGTCAGAAAAGCAGTACCATCCTGACCTCAGAGGACGGCGCCGGACCTGGGAAACCGCCATCGCGGCGCCTGCAGTACTGGCTTGCTCGCCGTCGCCGTCGCCGTCGCCCATCGCGTCTTCAGCGGCGGCAGCGTGACAGACTCGGCGCAGCCATTAGAGTCGACGCCCTCGGAGGATTTGGAGACTGGGATAGAGATCGGATTAATTTGATTCATGCCATTATAAATATATTGAATTAGAATAATACCATTACTTTTTTTTTGCTCTTTTCTCTTTTTTTGCGATATTTTTTCTGTTTTCTGATATCACCTTTCTGCGTTTTTTTCTTTTTTATATTATTTTTCAACAGAAACAGGCCAATGATCTCAAATAGAGACTTAAATGTAAATATAAATATTATAGGGACTGAAATACAAAAGTCAATAGGAAATCCTACCAACCGAGCAACTCCAAAACCGCTCGATGAAAACTTCTCCAAACCATAAAAACGGAAACCCGGCGATGGTTAGTTCGATTTTTTAAGTCCCAACAACAATCGACATGATGCAAAACTACATCCAAAACTGACATACAACTCACACGACTTAACTAATGAACCCTAAACCCGAATTGACGAAGAGATGAAATACTCAAAACTAAAAAAAATAAATCTAAAACTAAACTAGTACTCGACACGACATGCAACATAAAATTCAATAAAGCAAAATCTAATAGAACAATTCAATGGCTCAAAATTTCTAGGTAATGGATGCAATAATTTTGTGTGAAAGTTTTATAGTTATAGGTATATATAAAAGAAACTAATAATCTTAAAGAAGGTATACCTAACAAGCAATTTGTGCTCTGATACTAACTAAGGACCTAGGTCTCGATCTTTCGATAGGTGCTGATAACTCTCGATTTGGTGGAAACTAGACACACGATCCGGCTTCCAATCAACACAATCTGAACCCTGCAATTGCATTACCATGTCTCCTTTGGTAATCAACCGTGCGCTGCTCGGTTGACCTCGCTGAGAAGGCTAATCCCTTCATATGAATCATAAAACACAAGCAAAAACAAGGTAGATTGCAACTCAATTTGTAGATAAATGATTAAGATCTCAAGGTTGGGGTTCCACAAACCGAACTAGCGGCGAAACTGTAATGGCAAAAATAGTCTAAGCAAAACCTAACCCTAATTCGATGACGCTACTGAATAAATAGCTTATAGGGTCATCCTTGGGTTGTCCTAGGGTACACAACCCCTTGGGTTTAGCCAACGACACAATTACAAGGGTCAAAGCCAAATCAGACTCGGACTAGATGAGGTACATGGTTTATTTTGCATATTCCCGATAGCCCATGAGGAATTTTGAGGTGGGGGTGGAGGTGGAGGTGGTAGGGGTAGGGGAAGGGGAAGAGGAAGAGCTGGAGGGAGGGAAGGTTCGTGGTTTGGCTCAAGTGCAAGTGGTGGAGGTGGCAGGGGTAGGGGAAGAGCTAGAGGGAGGCTAGCTGATCGTGTGTTCTTTGGTTGATCATGTAATATGTTCCTACTATTTAGTGCATGTTTGTGTGATGTTGGACCTGATGGTGTGCCTGTATGTGTGATGTTGGACCTGATGGTATGCTTCCGTTGGATTTGGTGGTGTGGTTTTGTTGGGCCTATTGATGTGTTTATGTTGGACTGTTTTATTGTTGCATGTTGTTGGACACTAGTAATCGTGCACGTGCAATGCACGTTATGTTCAAAATATAAATTAAACCCAATATATTGTAACCAAAATAATTTCACATAAAAGTTTTCATTTTGTGGGGTTACACAAGTTTTAATAAAATGATGTGCAACTCTCCTGACAAGAAAATATATGTGATTTGTAGCTCCTTTTCTACACTGCAGTAACTAATAAAATATCCCAACAAATTAACAGAGCAGAACGACAAGATACATGTCATTGACCAATAGAATAAAGGGGCAGGAATGTCAAATACCACAAATCTTCATGTCTCAAAATTTTTGTTGCCAGCCGTGAACCAGTTAATAACTTAATATACTTGAAATTGCAGCAAATACTTATGTACCACTTTGAATCTTAAATGTTCCACTTCATCATGTTTGTAAAAATAATTTATTTTAGGCCCCTATAGCATAAATAAGCAAGATATATGAGGCTTTAAGAGCGACAAAAAAAAACCAAAAACTTCAAAGGATCATTTCTTAATCTCAAATGATCCTTCTATTGAAGCATTTTCTTGAACATGAAAAAAAAACCAAGAAAAATACTACATGGGCAACCCAGATTCAATACCAGAAAGTGGTTGTATTATTTACATCTCACAAGCAATCCTTTGGAGTGGCTTCCTGCCATGTTGGCATACCTTGCCCCTGAACAGATTTGATACACCACCATAGTTCGGGGGAGGGGGGGGAGGGGGGTTATCAATTGGAGTGACACTCTCATCTCACTTCTATCAAGTATCAACAGTACAGATCTAACTCTTTAGAACATGAAACAACTTTAAATTTAACCAGACATACAATGATTTTTCCTTATTAGTTCAATCCAGTACCTCAAACAACTTCCATTATAATTTGACAGAAAGATAAAACAACATAAGATCATCCATAGAATCTAGAGTGCCCCACTCATATGAAGGAAACAACTTCCACAGATATCTACATGAGCTTGACCAAAATGCTATAATGGTCAGTAAACTGAAAGAAGAATAGGTAAACAGGAAATAGAACATAAGAAAGAGGAGTAGCCATACTCGATACTACAATTAGTAAGCCTCCTGTCGCTGCCAGCCTTTCAAACAGCCCTCTTCTATAATGATATTACGTAAGATTTTCAATAGAGTTCCATCTAAACTGTGCCTATATAATGCAACTAACAAAAGGGGTAATGGAGGGATCTACTTAAATTGTTTGGTAATTTGGGTTCCACAAATCAAATTCCATGTGTCAAGCAAAAATACACAATGCAGTAGCATACTTTAGTTCCTCTCTTGCCAACAACGTGCTAAAAAATCATTTAATAGATATATGCTTCTGGACAGGGATAAGCTTAATTTCCCAATTATGCCAGTGCAGGCTGTACAAACGAAGGTTTGCTTGTATGCTAATGTACAGATGTAAATATAATTGCTCGTACAACAAATTAATTTTCCATGGTAACAGAAGAGCCATATCCCAATTTCACATTAATACCAAGAGGCTGAGCTTTTTCTCATGATAGAGAATCTAAAAAAGAAAATAACAAAACCTATTGACGCAACCAAAGCTGCCAGCTTATCTTGCATCTATACCATTGAGAGTATGAGGTACATTCTGAAATGCTAAATCGAGCACATGAATTATCATAAGGATAGTCCTAAACATTCTAGTACATATTAAGTTTATGTTCCTAGCTTGTTGTACATGTCACTGTGAGAGTATTTTACCGGTAACTGTGAAGAAACAAGTAGGGCGGCTAAAAGATGTTTCATTTGGCAGAAAGTATCATGTTCCATTTTGCAAAAAGTATCTCACTAATTTCTGTTAAATAGGACTCATCAGTGGATTTCCCATCAGGTATTCCAAATATCATTTAAGCAGTAAAATCAACGTGTGTGTGCTCCATAAGAAAAATAAATGAAGCATGACAAATTGTATTATGAAAGAAAATACTACGTCGTTTTTACTCTGCATAATCTCTCACAAAATGTAGATCTGCTTCAATCACACTTGAAGCTCTGACCCTAGAAACTCAATCACACATCAAATTTACAAGATTAAATAAAAGGGTGTGAGTTCTTGAAAGAACATCCATAAAATCAATTTGCTGGTCGTGCCCTGTTGACCTTTAATGAACCTGAGAAAATAGAGATTACTCTTCACTGAAGATCCAAAGCCATTACCTCTTACAAATCCATTATGGTTTTGCATCAGCAAGTTTAATTTATCCAGAGTTCATTAGTTAAACATAACTGGAAGCATTTTAGAAAGGTGAATCAAGGTGTTTTTCTAGATGTCACACAAATTTCTATTTCATGTATTTCTAAGAGAACATATCAATATGGAGTTATCAACCCTTACTATAGAAACCATATGCTTTTTAGGGCATGTATGCTTAAAACCAATAGTTTCTACAATAGGCCAAATATCAATATATAATATATGCATGTGAGTATACCCTTCTCTTCTCCATTTCATGTTTGTCGCGAGGAGCAGCACAACTCCAATAAAGCATCTGCAAATCAGAAGGCTAAAAAAATATTTTTGTCAATCACATTCTTTCATGTATGACATTTCCTAATAAGACTAAACGGATTTGCTATCACGATTAACTTGCACCACTTAAAGTCATATCTTACCTGGGTTTTCCAATCTTGATTATCACCTTCACATCACAACTTGTATTTGAGATGCATTCGGCCTTGTTGAGTTCATCCATCCCCATGTGGATTGAGGGGAATTTGGAAGGTACTTATTCCAAATCTATTGAGCCTGAAATTAATCCCCCTCAATCCATTCAATCTCTTCCTCATGAGGATAACATAACAAAGCACTTATGTGAAGCTACTGCTCTGTCAAGTCCACATCCACCACCGTGTTGCAACCTTGCAACGCAGCCATGGTGGTAGTAATCGAGGATGGCAGCATGTAAGCATGGGTGAAGGAGAAAGAACTCCAGAATTAGGGATCCACAACTGCTTGCCAGGAATGATTTCTTCAACCAGTAGCAGAGCTGAAAATGGCGCACTTTGTTAATTATTTGAGATGAGAAAGTGAGGGCATCCGCTGCATTATCAAGTTGATGCTAGGAATGGGATACCAGGAAAACGGCGGCATCGGCTGGAGACGACCTCGGCTCCGTTGGCGTCGGTGGCTGGGGACGACCTCGGCTCCGTCGGCGGCAGCGGCGGTGGCGGATGGGGAGGACGTCGGCTCAGGCTGCAGCCGATGGGGAAGAGGGACGACCTCGAGTGCACGGTGGCGATGGTGGTGGCGGCGGCGGCGGAAGGGGCCTTCCTCGGCGCCGGCGCCGGCGGATAGGCGTGGGCGGCGGCAGCCTCGGCGCTGGTATGGCGGTGCGGTGGTGCGCCGTCGCTGAACCGTTGCGAGGAAGAGGGAGGTCCGACGTTGCGGCGGAGCGAGGAGGCGAGGTCGCTGGTCCGGCGGTGGATCGTCGCGAGGAGAGGAGGTGCAGAGCGAGGATGCGCGCGGGGAGCGATGTGCGGAGCGAGGAGGCGACGGGGAGCGAGGCGCGGAGCGAGTAGGCGGAGTCATCGCGCCGGGGATTTGCGCGGCGCAGTCACCGCGTGGGGGGCGACATCGCTGGTGGGATGAGATCGGGCGAAATCGCTGGAAGAGATAGAGCTACGGTGTACAGCGGACGGATGAGATTAGGAGAGACGCAGATGGACGGTAGAGACTGAACCAGGTGATTTCACCGGTAGGATTAGAGGGGGGCAACTCCTCCTTTTTATATTAGTATACATGAATTTGCTTTTGGATTTGGCCATATATGTGTTTATGCTTCATTGAATGCAATTTGGAATCCACAAAATAGGATAATATATTGTCAAAATTTTGTAAAAAAACTGCCATAATTGTGTCAAATTTTGTTCAGTTTATTTTGTCAAGAATATGTTAAAATTGAAGTCAAATTTGTGAAATTGACTTGTTCACTTCAATTTATTAAAATTCTGTCAAATTGTAGTTAAATTTATCAAATTGAAGTCAAAATTGAAGCCAAATCTGTCTAAATTGTCTTGAATATGAAACATATGTCAAATTTATTACAAATATTTCAACAGATCCGAATATATACACTATATGACATAATAGGGTCAAATCAAACAAGTAAGGCATAACAAGGTCAAATAAGCAAGGGCAAAAGGACTATTTGCCCCTTACTTAACACTATTAACTCACCTAGTATGTTCATTTTTTAAAAGCAGAGTCAAATAAACAAATTAGAAAATGCAGGGTCAGATTGATAGTTAGTCTTCCAAACATGATCAAATAAATAATATTCCTAAAATAATTTGCATCTAAAAACCGTCATTTGCATATAAAAAATTGCATCTACATATCATAATGTCCTAGTACATAGCAGTGTAAATGTTACTTCCTCCGTCCCAAAATATGAGAACTTAAAATTGAATGAAACATTTATTAGTACTACGAATCTACAAGCAGTTTGTCCATATTTGTAGTACTAGAAAATATCCTATCTAATTTTATGTTCTTATATTTTGAGATGGATATAGTAACAATTACTAGCAACTACATGAACAAAAACTACAAGTGCCTAAGAACAAGATTTGGATAACAACATGAAATATCCAAACCATGCCCTTATAGGGCTAAACAGAGTAATAACCAGTCGTTGATCAGCAAAAGTCACCCATCTCAACAGGTCTGATATGGGTCTCCATGTATAATTTGAACTGTTCTGGTCGATCAATGCCATGTAGTCAATATACATGACATGAGTACATGACATGAAGAAGTCAGTCTTCTAAGCTCTATTGGTCAGTCAGCAACCTAGTTTAGAAGGATACTCTTTACTTTACGGGTATTTTTTTTTCAACGAACAGCATCAGACAGCGTACGTTGTTTCATTGAATAGAGCGCATGCCAAAAGTGTGCCAAGATAGCGAGGGAGTCAAAAAGCAGCCATGTGGAAATCAAACTATTCTAGTCAACATTGGAAGCTAGTATTATTTTAGTTACCTGCATGTAATCTCTCTGTTTATCAGCCTTGTCTACTTATCCCTTTTCAACACGCAAGTTCTACTATTTCTATATAATTGAAACCAATAACTCAACATGAATTGAGCCAAACAAAAAGGAACCATTTGATTGCTCGCATGCTTAATCATGGCCATCGATGTATTCTGTACGCTAACCATTTTGTACTATTTACTAACTTAATGTGCATTAATTGAGCATTTTATTATTATCTCACAATAAATTCAATGTTGTTTCTAAATGTGTAAAAAATGACCAATACAGATGTTGGAGGTCGGGTGTTACTCCCATCACCCATGACCCATTGGACTCTAGCTGTGCTCGCTAAGACCCAACACGAGGAGGAACTTTTAAAAACTTTGTGTTAGAATACATTTAGAAACCTCCCAAAGAAAATGTGATATTTGCTTTCTAAAAACATACTTGTAATATTCTCTTTGTCAAGTATATCTTTGTATTTTAGACATTTACAACACCAAATTAGTTTTAATAAACTAAAATTTAGTATATTTTGATAATATGTTGAGAAACACCCAAAGGTCTTCCGGCTAGCTTTACAAGGTGGTGGGTTAAACGACCTAAGTTCGAAGCTTTCATCCCTTCTAATTATTTGATGTTATATCTTTCCTTAATATCCGTGTCTTTTTTTTGACAATATGTACGTTTTGCTGTTAATTTTTTATTATAAATTTGGTTAAATCTAAAAAATACTAGAAAATAGTCAAAGCGAATCGTATGAAACGGAGGTAGCAAGCCTTTTTTAAATATAAAGTGTGCGAAATATATTGCTAACCCGAGAAAACTAAGTCAACACATAAGACAATTTGTTGCGCGCAATAAATTGGACGCCTCTTCATGCTGCAGCAGCGAAGATAAGCCGGTGAATCGGGTCGGCAAATTCAATATGGCAGCTGCTCGCCTTAGTGTTGGGTTGCAGGCAGTTCTAGTGATGTCCCTCTTACTACTGCAGATTATGCCATTTCTGCCATGTACGCTCGCCACCGGAGGTAACTCTGCCGAGCTACTGATCATGGGCAAGGAGACGCATCAAGGCCATCATCGTCTCTTAGCTCCAACCAAATCAATATGGTCTCGTCGAATCCTACTCCATGAGAACTTTTCCGGGCCGCGTAAGTTGTATCTGAATCCAGAACTGATTGTTAATTTTGCGTAGAAAGTGGTGTTAATGTGTTTTTACCAGGAACTAGAGAAGCAACTCTAATCAAACTGATGAGCACATATATATATATATATATATATATATATATATATATATATATATATATATACTCATATCATTTTCTTTCACATGCATGATTTAATCTGACTTTGTATATTTGTATATATTCTTCAATCTGAAGTAAATTTGGTTGGCCTTTCTTGGCCGGCCCGGTAAAAAAAAATTTAATCTGACTTGTAGTTACGTTTCAGAACATGACCCTCCTAATCATCGGCAACAAGGTAACTAATTCCGTCTGTTGGGTTCGTCGTTCCACGAACATGGTAGCACATAGGCTGCAGTCTGCAGGCTGGTGAAGGAAGGACAACTTTTGGTTTCTCCGGATTTTATTTTACCTTATCTTGATAAAGATAAGGGTTTTATTTTTCATTCTAATTTTTCTCTTGATAAAGATTGTAATTTACCTTCTCTTGATAAAGATTGTAAGCAAGTCGTTTTAGGTGAATAAAGTGGTACTAGTGTTCATCCTCAATTTCTTGGCTTGCCGACTACTTTTTTTTCGTACATCAACAACAATCGGCAGAGCAATTGACACTACTCAGTTCCTCCAGGTTTTATTTTACCTTATCTTGATAAAGATTATAAACAGGTTGTTTTAGGTGAGTAAAGTGCTACCAATGTTTATCCTTGATACCATTTTTTACCTTGCCAACAACCTTTTTTCATACATCAACAACAACTGAAAGAGCACTTGACATTACTCCCTCCGTCCAATAGAAAATCAACTTCTAACAACGAATCTACATATAGGCTATATCTAGATTCAAATCATTAATTATTTTTTTAGTGAAACAGAGAAAGTAGAGATGTAGCTACGGAGCTCCGATGGCTGCCCATGCAAACCTTCCCAAGAGTAGGGGTGAAATGGGGCAGGGCAAGGGCGGATTGGGTTGGAACATCCCCATCCCTGGCCCTGAACCAACGACCAGGAGAATAATGTCCCCCGTCCCCACACCCATCAGGTCCCCACACTCCGAACGGTGCTCGTGGGTTTGTGGAAGAAGATGGAAGAGAGACGACGCACCAGGCATGGTGGGAAAGGAAAATGGGCTGGGGCTCATCGACGGTGAGCCGCTGGCACCTCGGAAAATGGAGATGGAGGCGGGAAGTTTTGAGCTGTAGAGGAGGAGTGTCGTCTGCACCTCGTCAAGCTGATGCAGGGAGAGAATTGTTCATCGATCTGGGGAACGCCCCATTAGCCATCGACTGGAACAGAGGGGGTGGGCTGGTGGGGTATCGGAGTTGTTTTCGTCCTATGTGGCAGTCCTATCAGCATATTTTAAAAAAACAATTGGTGGGACTTGTCTGTCATATTATCTCTACTCTCCCTCTCTTCCCCCTCTAACCTTCCTCTACCTCTCTTCAGTCCTTGTTTGCTGCGAGTCTCCTCGTGCACGTGCCGGCGGAGGCCGAGGAGGAGCTATGGCAACTATGACTCTCCTCGCGCATGCGCCGACGGAGGCCAAGGAGGAGGCACACCCTAGAGGTGGCCGAGGAGGAGCTCTTTGCCGCCGCATCTGCCGGTGCGTGATGGAGGTGTATCTGGAGTTGGGGATGGTGATGACGAGCGCGCTGCAACAGGAGGGGACAGGGGAGGATGTAGATGCGTTGCTCCACTCGGCAGGGAAGGCTATCTCGTGAGGATATGCAGGGACGACCCTCGTCGTTATCATCGTTTGCGGTGGTGGCTTCTCTAGTGGGGTCATCACCTAATAAGGAGCTGGTGGTGGATACGGGGAGTATTGCCGTTGGCGCTGCCCGTGATGCAAACGCCGCAGCGCTACCATCGCCGACAGCTATGAATATGCGGGATCGCATTGCTGATGGCAAGCTGAGGAGCGTGGCACTAGCAGTGACGGCGAAGATGCCATGGCTATGGGCAATGACGGTAAGCGGTTACGGACAAGCATGGCGCTAGAGGCGTTGGTGCTAAGGCACTCCCCGCGGCAACTTCTGGTGGGGGAGGACGCCGCCACGGACAGCGCAGGGGCATCGTGCCACTCCAACACCATCCACAAAACCTACTCGGCCTCAGACGAGGTAGGCGGAACGGACTCCCATTCCTCGACATCGAGGCGCCTGTGCTTGCGGGCGGAAGGGGAGAGTTGACAAGGAGGAGGAGCACGGCGGCGGCGAGGTGGTGGGTGAGGAGGAGGAGGAGGAGGAGGAGGGGGATGGTGGGAGACGGGGCGGTGTCGATGGCGGCCACGACACATGGTGGTGGAGAGAGGTGGGAGGGGAGAGATATGACAGTGGGCCCCATCATTTTTTAAAAAAAGAATTGATGTCTGGATTGTCACGTTGTTGATGCGAAAAACACACACTGGCCTGTGAGATCTGCTTAGCTCTAGTACAGATCCAAGTTGTTGATGAGATGCGAGCGTGCCAGTCAGTTTGATCCTGCAACTGACAAGATATGTAAACAGCAGATAAAACTACCGATCGGCTGACAAGCCGATGGAGTGATTCTAGCCGATGCCGATACCAGCCGATAGCGATAGGGTTTTGAGCTATTGGCTATATGTTTGATGTAGAATCTGACACTTGATATAAATAAAGACGATCGGCTGATGATAATACAATATAACAATAATAATTTCCAGTAGAAACCAATCGGCTAACAATGATATGATAGAATAAGCACTGATCCGAAGATTAAAGCATACATCAGCTGGAAGTCCGATGTCATAAAATCCACAAGATTAGATAAACAATGAAAATCTTTGTTGTCATCGGCTAAATCCAACTTATATCCAATCCTTGTAGGCCGATGCAACGTCTAGATACCTCATCGGCTGAAACCCCGATGAAACTCTTATTAGGTGGAGGTCAACACATAAGACAATTTGTTGCACGCAATAAATTGGACGCCGCTTCATGCTGCAGCAGCGAAGAGAGGCCGGTGAATTGGGTCCGCAAATTCAATGGCAGCTGCTCGCCTTAGTGTTGGGTTGCAGGCAATCCTAGTGATGTCCCTCTTACTACTGCAGATTATGCCATTTCTGCCATGTACGCTCGCCACCGGAAGCAAGTCTGTCGAGCTACTGATGGGCAGGGAGACGCATCATGGAGGCCATCATCGTCTCTTAGCTCTAAGCAAATCAACACGGTCTCCTCGAATCCTACTCCATGAGAACTGGGACGGGCCGGGTAAGTTGTATCTGGATCCAGAACTGACTGTTTTGCGTAGAAAAAGTGGTGTTAAACTGTTAATGTGTTTTTACATGCATTTATGTGTATATACTCCTATCATTTTATTTCACATACATGATTTAATCTGACTTGGAGTTTCGTTTCAGAACATAATTAACCCTCCTAATCCACATCCACTAGGCAACTAATACCGTTGTTGGGTTCGTCGTTCGGCGAACATGGTTGCACATAAGCTGCGAGCTAGGGAAGGAAGGTCTTTCTACTGGTTGTTTCACAACCTGGGTTTTGGTTTCTTTGGGTTTAAAGATAAGGGTTTTATTTTACCTTCTCTTGATAAACATTGTAAGCAAGTTGTTTTAGGTGAATAAAGTGGTATTAATGTTCATCCTCAATTTTTTGGCTTGCAGACAACTTTTTTTTCATACATCAACAATAGTCCGCAGAGCAATTGACACTACTTGGTTCCTCCAAGTTTTATTTTACGTACCTTATCTTGATAAAGATTACAAGCAAGTTGTTTTAGGTGAATAAAAGGTGCTACCAATGTTTATCCTCCATACATTTTTTTGGCTTGCTGACAACTTTTTTTTCATACATCAACAACAACCAATAGAGCAATTAACATTACTCTCTCTGTCCTATAGAAAATCAACTTCGGACTATAAATCTAGATGTAAGCTATATATATCTAGATTCATAACTATAAATTAATTTTTTATGGAACATAGGAATTACAGATGTAGATACAGAGCTCGGATGGTTGTCCACCAACCTACATAGGAGTAGGGGTGACAACGGGGTAGGGCAGAGGTGGATTGGAACGTCCCCGCCCCTAGCCCCAAACCAACGACCAGGTGAATAACGTCCCCAATCTCCACACCTGTCGGATACCCACACTCCGACCAGGGCTCGTGGGTTCTGTGGAAGAAGATGAAAGAGAGACGATGCACCATTCATGGTAGAATCATCATTTGCATATAAAATGTATCCAAACAATTCGCATCTAAAAAAACGCAAATATTAAGGAATGACCTAATATCAAATAATTAGAAGGGGTGAGGCTTAGAACCTAGGTCGTCTAGCCCACCACCTTGTGGAGCTAGCCGGAAGACCCCTAGGTGTTTCTCAATTTGCATCTAAACAAGCGGCATTTGCATATAAAAAAGTTGCATTACTCATTATAAATTCTTAGTATATATATAGCACTATATGAAGAACAAAAACTAAAAGTACCTAAGGACAAGATTAGGATCATATATAACAGCATCAAATAATATCAATCCAACCCATGACTCTACAGGGCTGCACTGAGTAATCAGTCTTTGATCAGCAACAAGTCACCCATCTCAACAGGTCTGATGGGTCTCAATGCATAAATTTGAACTGGTCCGGTCGATCGATGCCCTGTAGCCAATATATACTAGTATATATCTACTTCAAATTCTGCCCGTTTGTCACCGCGAGCAAGGTCTTCAAGTCGGTCTTTCTAATCTCTATTGGCTAGTCAGCAACCTAGTTTACAAGGACTCTTTAACTTATGGACCGCATGCCAAAAGTAAGTTAAGTGCCAAGCTAGTGGGGGAGTTAAAAAAGAAGCAATGTGGAAATCATACTTTTCTAGTCAACATTGGAAGCTATACATATTGTTTTAATGATCTGCATGTATCCACCTAATCCGTTTTCAGCACGCAAAGTTATCTATATAATTGGAACTGCCGCATTAAAAAAAAGAGCCGTTGGACTTCTCGCACATGCGTAATCATGGCCATCGATGCATTATGTATGCTAACCGTTTTGTACATAATGAAATGCTCAATACACGTTATCTCCCTTTTTTTTTTGTTGTTGTTGTTTTATTGTCTAAAAAGAGACTAAGGTCCCGTTCGAATATGCTAAACGGTGCGTTTTGCGCGAAAACTTATATGAAATTAAGTTGCTCTAAAATATCATATTAATCTATTTTTCAAGTTTGTAATAATTAAAACTCAATTAATTATACATTAATACCGTCTCGTTTTGCGTAATACACTTCATCTTTCATCTTTAGGAAAAAAGTCACCACATGATTAATTAAGTATTAATAATTATAAACTTAAAAAATGGGTTTATTTCAATTTTTTAATAACTTCTATATATATATATTTTTTTTAAAAAAGAAACACATCATTTAACCATTTAAAAAGCTTGTTAAGAGGAAGTTAAAGTTTGGAAGCGAAGAAAAAAACTGAGCCTAATGCAGATGTTGGAGGCAAGGTGTACTGAGCCTAGTACACGCATGACCCACGGAACTCAAGCCCAGCTGTGCTCGCTAAGACCCAACATGATGCTTGGAATTTTCTCTAATTTATTAGAAACCTTAATTCTCAAGAAACAAGATATCTTATTTATTGTTTTCACACATTTTATTACAGTAAGTATATGAATATTTAATTTTGGTTAGTTTTACTTATAACATCAAGTTAGCACATTGTTTAATTGTTCACACGTCTACCATCTGCACACATGACATGCGAGATGCACAACATATAATTCACTCCTCAAATATTAGACGGTATAAAAGTAGTCAAGCATATAATATGTGATCGACCTGAGAAAATGAAGTCAACTCAAAAATTCTGACTAAGAAATAGTGAAGCAATAATTCATACTTTCCTTCCTTCCCAGAGCTAGAACACAGCTTTCGTATTGGGGCAAGAAGCAGTATAAGACAAGTGTGTTCCTGTCTGCACTTAAAATGTCATGAGCGAAAGCAAGCCACAGCACCAACAGAGCTCTCCAGGTTGAAGATTTTGTGTGCTATCTTTGACTCTGAACTCACATACCTCAAAAGTCATCAGGTCCCATCTGATATTTCTGATTAGCCTGATGACCAACTCAACAGAAGTAACTAATACCCGTACTAACCAGTTTGTGGTCACACTCGCATAAGAAAAATATATGCTATGATCACTTGTTGTCAGTACTCCACTCTTCAAAGCACACATCATGGTCTGAAACCCTTGAAAACATTGTTTGAAACAGCTGCTATGTTCTATATATCAAAGTTCAACAAGAGTTACAAGACCGTGTCAAGTCGGCACCCTCTGTTTCTGTCTCATTCTTTTGGCTGAAACCGTTAGTATACTGTGTAATATTCCAACCTGACGTAATTAGTTTTGAATTTACACAAGTTAACTAACAAGTGGAACATCATTGTCAGCTAAAAAATACATGGTGGTGACCATGCAAAAGTAACGTCAGCAATAATTACACAAGGTAACTAGCAAGTGGAACATCATTGTCAGCAAAAAAATACATGGTGGTGACCATGCAAAATTCACGCAAGTCAAGTACGTTGTCATCTTCCTACCTATATAAATTCATCAACAACTGTCCATCTGGGTAAAACAGATAATGTGATTATTGACGTAATATTACCTTGTCAATCTTTTCTTTGCGTTAAAAAAAATGCAATTTTTAGCTGGATCTACAGTTGATCAGTTCCATCCTTGGTTGATGTACAGGCGATGTCTCAAAAATCTCATCCAATGGATGGACTTCCTCTCTTGCTACCACAGGCACCAAGATCCTGAAAAGAAACATAACAAGCTAATAATTAAATGTACAAGTATATCAGTAATATTTATTGTATGTATGGTTAGGACCATATGCAAATGCAAACCATAGTGATGCCTTTATTTGACCAGTCAAGAAGACTACCTACGATTCCATCTCCTGGTTGGGATAATGAGGCATGTTCAAATGAATTAAGAAGTCTGGCTTGCACATCTGCTGTTTACAACACATCAAATTGTAGCATTTAAAACTAGAAATCATATAGCTGCCTGGCAATAATTTAGTTTGAGTGAATTATAAGTCGTTAAGTCATGCCTTGTACTACTTACCACATAGGGCACCGGAAATCAATAGATTTTTGATAATTAGCATATCTTTAGCTGATGGTTCTAGCTTCCCCTAGCTTGCTATTCAGTAAACAAAATAAAGCCAAATAGCACATAGGTCGATCACTACATGGGCATATTCAGAAATTACATGGAACCAATACGCCTTGTGGACTGGATATTGGATAGCATGCGAAAAGTCAGTTACGTGAGAAAGAAGCATGTAGAAGAGGATTCTAGTCAACAATGGTAGATATTATTTTAGTGTTGTGCATCTACCCGTCCAACTCATTTATCAGCATGCAAATTTTGCAGTCAATTTTCACCACCAAACTCAACTGGCACCATCATATGTGAACACAATGCTAAATGATCACACACATCAGATATTCACAGTTGGATATCTTTGAAATAGAAGTTAGGCACCACTATCCCATCTAAAATCATATATAATTATATATAATGTAATCCTTCAGTCAATAATGGATGGAGGACATCACATTAGGCATCTCCACCAATATTCGACAGTATAAAGTAACCAAGCACATAATATGTGATTGACCTGAGAAAATGAAGTCAACTCAAAGTTCTGACTAAGAAACAATGCAGCAGCTGATTCATACCTTCCTTCCCAGAGTTAGAAAACAGTTTTCATTTGGGCAAAAAGAAGTAGGCACAATCATTGGAATATACGAATATAAGACAAGTGTGTGCCTGCCTGCACTTAAAATGCCATAAGCAAGAGAAAGCCACAGCACGAACAGCAAGATGATCCGCTTGTTTGCTCCATGCCCAAAATTCATTCCACTCTTGGCTGTTTTCATCATCTCATGCTCTCTGCCATTAGCAATCAGCGATGACACTGATACTGATAGAGAAGCCCTGCTCTGCTTCAAGTCTCAAATCTCTGATCCAAACGGATCCTTAAGCTCATGGAGCAACACTTCCCAGAACTTCTGCAACTGGCAGGGTGTTTCATGCAACAACACCCAGACCCAACTCCGAGTCATGGCGCTCAACGTCAGCTCCAAAGGCCTCAGTGGTTCAATACCACCTTGCATTGCCAATCTGAGCTCCATCACAAGCCTTGACTTATCAAGAAACGCGTTCCTTGGAAAAATTCCAAGTGAGCTCGGACGCTTGAGACAAATCAGCTACCTGAACTTGAGCATCAACTCTCTTGAAGGCCGTATTCCAGATGAGCTGTCCTCATGCAGCAATCTCAAGGTACTCGGCTTATCGAACAACTCCCTCCAAGGTGAGATACCACAAAGCTTAACCCAATGCACTCACCTCCAGCAAGTTATACTATACAACAACAAGCTTGAAGGCAGTATACCCACTGGATTTGGGACGCTTCCTGAGCTGAAAACTTTGGATCTCTCTAGCAACGCCCTCAGAGGTGACATACCACCATTGTTGGGCAGTAGCCCATCTTTTGTATATGTTAATCTTGGGGGCAATCAGCTCACAGGAGGAATCCCAGAGTTCTTGGCAAATAGCTCATCCCTTCAAGTGCTTAGGCTCACACAAAATAGTCTTACAGGGGAGATCCCTCCAGCCCTCTTCAACAGCTCCACATTGAGAACCATTTACCTGGACCGTAACAACTTAGTTGGTTCCATACCACCTGTTACAGCAATTGCTGCACCTATTCAATACCTTACTTTAGAGCAGAATAAACTCACAGGAGGGATACCAGCCTCACTGGGCAACCTTTCTTCCTTGGTTCATGTTTCTTTAAAAGCAAATAACTTGGTGGGGAGCATCCCTGAGAGCCTAAGTAAGATCCCAACCCTAGAGAGGCTAGTTCTCACATACAACAATTTGTCTGGTCATGTGCCACAGGCTATTTTCAACATATCATCTTTGAAATATCTTAGCATGGCCAATAACTCACTCATCGGCCAACTACCACCAGATATAGGCAACAGACTTCCAAACCTTGAAGCATTAATCCTATCAACAACACAGTTAAATGGGCCGATCCCAGCTTCTCTTCGCAATATGTCCAAGCTAGAAATGGTTTATCTTGCTGCTGCTGGTCTCACTGGTATAGTGCCATCTTTTGGATCCTTGCCAAACTTGCAGGACCTTGATCTTGGATACAACCAGCTTGAAGCAGGGGACTGGAGCTTCCTCTCATCCCTTGCAAACTGCACTCAACTGAAAAAGTTGGCCTTGGATGCAAATTTTCTCCAAGGAACCTTGCCTAGCTCAGTCGGTAATCTTCCCTCACAGCTCAACTGGTTGTGGCTCAGGCAAAACAGACTTTCTGGGGCAATTCCATCAGAGATTGGTAATCTTAAGAGTCTCAGTGTTCTGTATTTGGATGAGAATATGTTTAGTGGGAGCATCCCACCTACCATTGGAAATCTTAGCAACTTACTGGTTCTAAGCTTGGCACAAAATAACCTCTCAGGCCTTATTCCTGATTCTATTGGCAACCTTGCCCAACTAACCGAGTTTCATCTAGATGGGAACAACTTCAATGGGAGCATACCTTCAAACTTAGGGCAGTGGAGACAATTAGAGAAGCTTGATTTGTCCCACAATTCATTCGGTGAAAGCCTGCCAAGTGAGGTCTTCAACATTTCTTCCCTGTCACAAAGTTTGGACTTGTCCCACAATTTGTTTACTGGGCCCATACCACTAGAAATTGGCAACCTCATAAATCTTGGAAGCATCAGTATTTCAAACAATCGCTTGACCGGGGAAATACCGTCCACTCTAGGGAATTGCGTGCTTTTGGAATACCTTCACATGGAAGGGAACCTTCTTACTGGAAGCATTCCACAATCTTTCATGAACTTAAAAAGCATCAAGGAGCTGGATCTCTCTCGTAACAGCTTGTCAGGAAAAGTTCCAGAGTTCCTCACTCTCTTAAGTTCTTTGCAGAAACTCAACCTTTCATTCAATGACTTTGAAGGGCCAATACCATCAAATGGTGTCTTTGGTAATGCTAGCAGGGCTATCTTGGACGGAAACTACAGATTGTGTGTGAATGATCCAGGGTATAGCCTGCCCCTTTGCCGTGAATCAGGATCACAAAGTAAACACAAGTCTACTATTTTGAAAATAGTAATTCCAATCGCAGTGTCTGTTGTAATTTTATTGTTATGTTTAATGGCTGTTCTCATCAAGAGAAGAAAACAAAAACCATCTTTGCAGCAATCCAGTGTGAACATGAGAAAGATATCATATGAAGATATTGCCAATGCAACAGATGGGTTCTCTCCCACAAATTTGGTTGGTTTGGGATCCTTTGGGGCTGTTTACAAGGGCATGTTGCCGTTTGAGACCAATCCAGTTGCTATTAAGGTTTTCGATCTTAACAAGTACGGAGCACCCACAAGCTTCAATGCGGAGTGCGAGGCATTAAGATATATTCGCCATCGAAATCTTGTCAAAATCATTACTTTATGCTCTACGATTGATCCAAATGGCTATGATTTTAAAGCACTTGTCTTTCAGTATATGCCAAATGGAAGTCTGGAAATGTGGCTACATCCAGAGGACCATGGACATGGTAAAAAGAGATTCCTAACTTTGGGTGAAAGGATTAGCTTAGCCTTGGACATTGCATACGCTTTAGATTATCTTCACAACCAGTGTGTATCCCCACTAATACATTGTGACATCAAACCAAGCAATGTTCTTTTGGATCTTGAAATGACTGCATATGTCAGTGACTTTGGGTTGGCAAGATTTATGGGTGCTAATTCAACAGCAGCGCCTGGTAACTCTACAAGTTTGGCTGACTTAAAAGGATCCATTGGATATATTGCACCAGGTGAGAGAAATTGGAAACTTATACTGATTTATTGACCTGTATGCTTCAGCCATCTTATTAACTTATCCAATGTTACATGGATTGTAGTTTTCCTCCATTCGCCATTCTTATGTTTTCAAATGAAAATGCAGAGTACGGAATGGGTGGGCAAATATCAACGAAGGGTGATGTCTACAGCTATGGAGTGTTGTTGTTAGAGATATTAACTGGAAAGCGTCCAACTGATGAAAAATTCAATGATGGTTTGAGCCTCCACGATCGTGTGGATGCTGCATTTCCCCACAGAGTAACTGAGATTTTAGACCCCAACATGCTACACAATGATTTGGATGGTGGAAACTCCGAACTGATGCAAAGTTGTGTCCTCCCATTGGTTAAGGTGGCCCTCATGTGCTCCATGGCATCACCAAAAGACCGGTTAGGGATGGCACAAGTTTCTACTGAACTACAGTCCATCAAGCAAGCATTCCTTGAGCTTTCCAGTGGAGGAAAAGTAGTGTGAATAACTCCCCGGTGGTGTGCAAAGCTATGTTGCTTTGCAACTACTGTGTAAGGCTACTTCTATTACCATAACTAAGCCTATATATAAACAGGGGCAGACACAGCAGGGGGTCAAATAGGGCTCAGGCACACCTACTGCCGCCAGGCCCCCTGGAAACCATACCTTATTCAGGAACCAAGTCCACACTAATACAAGCCAATCTCATGGCTTCACGGTACAGTATTGCGTATAGGCTGCAGCCACTCGTTCAAGGGAGGCAAGCAGACACATGTCAACACAGATTTAGCAGCCATTGATGCTAGTATTGGTCATCAACAGATCTAACCCAATTAAACCATTTTTGCTAACTTTTCTTAGCTCAGCCCATGACAGTATAAATCAACAACAAAAGCTTTGATAATGTTCATGACTTAGTGGTACTACGTATTTTAATGATAATCTTATATTGGTCTTTTAAACTAGCACCTCCTAAAATTTTGTTCTGCGTTCTCCACTGTATATAAATAACCTCATGAATCTATTATGTGTTTAGGAATTAGGACAGCACCAAATGCAATGTTAGCAGGCTGTCGACACACCCAAGATATGGTTACAATTCCACGGTAGTTAGTCAGCGGCACAACTCACACCACACAACAGGCATAATAACGCGCATAGAGCAAAACGGGCACACAGCTGCGCCCGCCCAAGTGCGTTAGTGCGTGCTGCGCGCTACTACTTTCAGAGGCATTTCCACAAACACGCCACGCGCGTTCGAAGTCCATACACGAAATCCAGCACACACAGGCATACGCAAAAAATTCAGAAAAGCAGTAGCACGCTGACCTTGGAGAAGACGGCGCCGGCCTGGCAAACCTGCCGCCTTCCGCCGCGCCTGCGCCGCCCATCGTCTCGTCTTCCTCCGCCGCTCCGCGGCGGCGCGACAGGGTCGACGCCGTCGAAGAGTTGGAGAAAGAGAGAAAGGGAGGGTGACAAAACAAGGTTGGGTCGGGCCTTGTTGATGTTGGGCTGTGGGCAGGCCGTCCTCATAGATGTATTCCATTCTCTCTCTTAATTAACTTTCTAGTAGCAAGTTTTTTTTCCTCTCAAAAAAATCTCATGTAAATTCCAAACTTTTTTTTCATTTTATTTTTTAAAAATTACATATTTTTTTCATTTAAGGGAAGACATACACATGCGCATATACGCATGAATGTGCGCTTTAACACATCCTATAAGAAACACTCTTAATATAGTTACAATTTTATTGAAAGCATTTTCGTGGTGTGATATTTATGAGCAGCATGATTTGAACCAGATGAACCACCACATATCGGTCTTTCCTAGTTTCAAATAATTTTATTCGTATGAGCAGATAGTTCATCTTTATTCAACAGTTTCAGATACGTTTGGAGCAAATTTACATAGACTCGAATACAAACTTTTGGGCATGAATTTCTAGCTATGTGCTATTTTTTTAATAATGAAAATAGATTATATCTCCAGTCTTTGGCAATGGACACACATCAACAAGTTTCAGAAGAATTTAAAATAGATGTGATCTATGTGCTACTTAGGCCCTGTTTGGGAGAGTTTGTCCCAGCTGCAGCTTTTCCTAAAAGCTGCTTCTGCTAGAAGCTGCCCCAAACAGTCTAAGATTCTGAAAAATGAACTAAAAAGCCAGAAGATATAAAAGCTAGGTTTCAGAGCTTTTCCAGATTCTCAGAAGCTGGCTACCAAACAGCTGCTTCTCAAAATTTAAAGCTCCCCCAAATAAACCCTTAGATTGGCTTGCTATGTCCTGGGGCCTGGCCAACGATACATTCCACGTCGACCTACGGAAGCAAAAGCAATTCAGTTTATAATAATGCTGCTATAAATTTAGAGGGGAAAAGTGAAGGAATATTTACATATACTTTTATGGGTACAAACGGACGATTTTCCTACCATGTTTTTTCGAGGATTCTTAATTATCAACTTTAAAAATAGTACCAAGTCATGGTACTATTTATAACCTAGGAAAAGTTCTATGATTAATATTTAGACAAATAAGTTCGATACATCTTATTAGTTATATGTATATAGGATTATATCTTGTGCACCCAAGATGGTTAAAGTGTCGTACTTGAAAAGAAAGATGGTTAAAAGGCTCTTCTTTTTTCTACATGTAACTACATTTTCTGGTGGAATACACTTGCCTGTCGGCATGTATTGGTTGCCATGCACGGACGAGATTGGAGGATTGTGAGCCCCGTTGGGACCACTACCATATCCATCTCCATGTTCTACAAAGCAATTATGTAAATTTTAAACCAAGTTGAATTTCGTGTATTAGAATATGTTATATTTTTCCTTAACTAATAGCTAACCGATGTTATATGTAGATATTTCCTCTGGTTCTAATATGCAGTACAGTTGAGTAGTTTTACAGCTTTTATACACCTTTTCTATTTCCATTCCATGTTTATTACCCTTTCCAAAATGCTACTACTTTCAAAAATAAAATTGTCTCATATTTTAAAGAAAACTCTTACATATTTTTCTAGATTGATAAACTATTTTTTCTACAAGTAGCTAAATTTTCAAGTGAAATACACTTGCCTATAGGTATGTACGGGTTGTTGTACACGTAAGAGATTGGAGGCTCGTGAACCCCGCCGGGTCCACCACCTCCGGCTCCACTTCCATATCCACCTCCACCTTTTACAAAATCAACATCTTTAAATAAATTTATGCAGTAAATTTTTAAACATGGTTTTGTTTTGAGTATTAATATATTATTTTTTTCCTTTACCCAATAGGCAGCATATGTTCATATATGACTATTTCCTCTTATCCGAAATGCATTGCAAGTAGTTTCAGAACGTCTATACACTATTTTACCTTTTATTTCAAGTTTATCCTTTTCATAAATAAATGTCCCATATTTCTATAGTAAAATATAAATGAAAGACAATAAAATAATCTAATATACCATTTTAAACTTCTATTAGTAATGTTAAAAACCAATAACTTCATCTGAAACCAGAGTACAAATCAGAGGAAATGTTCCACCGGCGTGCGTCCTCACCAGCGAAAGGGCCACCGCCGCCGGCCACCGGCGGCGCCCACTGCGGAGGGAAGAAGGGCGGCGGCGGCGGCGGCGAGAGCGCGAGCGAAAGCGACGACGGCAGCAGCAGTAGTAGGACCGACATGGCCGACGCCGCTGGCGCTCGTAGCCCGAAGCGAAGCCGACGAGCTGCTCCCATGGCCGCAGATGGAGCTCGCTCTACTACACTTGATCAATCGCTCTCTGAAATCTGAAGCTGGTAGATCACTCGGCTGTAGTTCTCACGTCCAAGGCTTTGCCCCCCATATATATACAAGATAAACGCAACGACGCGGTTTTGCTATGACAATGCAGCTTCTCTACTTGCTACTTGCTAGCCAGCTAGGAGTGGGCAGTCCATCAGTCAATAGAGTAGTATACAGTTCGAACTGTAGTGTCAAATCCTGCTCAATCAGCCACAGGTTCTGATTATAATGTATACTAATATTATGCTTGTTTTGAGAGGACGAACAAGTGGATTGATTCTGCGTCTGACCACTGAAAGATTAGGCCTGAAGTTTCCCTAAGGTATACCAAACAGAATCTGCTTGGGATTTGTAAAAGAAAATGAGCCAAAGAGCCTTCCAAGTTCCAACATAAAAAGCTCTCCACAATAACGACGGTGACAAAAATCAAGGAGGAAGTCAAGACCTGAGCTTCAGGTACAATAGCAGGCTATAAGTCAGCTGCAAACATATTTTAAGGAGATAAATGAGAAAAGAGAAGAGCAGCGGACTACATATTTGTAGCCAGCTGTAACACGAACTCCAAGACACAGTGTGTACGATAGGTGGGATCAGGTATTAATAGTGTAGTGTGTAACTATTGTATAAATGAGCTATTAGATTGGCTATAGATGAATTGTAGCCAGTAGTTGGCTATACTCCTAAACTTGCTCTTAGCCAGAGCGAAACGTCTCTCGAAGCTAGGGGTAGTAGTGAATTAGGGCCCGTGGGCGCTTTCACAACCCACTTCAGCCTTTAAATATTTTTAGCTAAAAAATGTATTAATTTTTAGTACAACTCTTTTTGAACTCAGCCCTTGCATTTTGCCACCCCTGCTCATAGCTCATCCTTGGTTTTACTTTTTGTGCGGTTCTCCTTTTTACTTATACAAAATTTTTACTCCTACTTTATTCAATGAAATTAGGACATCTAGTACTGGTTCGTTAAAAAAACAAGAAGTTCCCCAACATCTTAGGCTACTCCAACCATGAGATGAACAATTCTTCATGGTTACTGATCAGGCCACGGAGGATGATGCACTGTCACTCTCCCTGGCAACTCTGATGAAGACATCCTCCAGCGTTGTGTCAGCCAAGCCCCAGGCAAGAACGTTCATCCTGAGCTTCGCATGCTCCATGGCCCGGAAAACTTGAGAGATCCTCACCTCCTGCTTCGCCATCTCGAACTTCTGCGTCCCGGAGATGTGGTACACAATGTTCATGGTAGGGGAGATGGACTGGACCAGTCTCCTCATCTCCTCCGCCTCGCCTGTCGCGGTTGTTACTGTGAGGACATATGAGCCTCCATATTTTGCTTTCAGCTGGAAAGGCGAGATTTTGGGGGTTCAAGTTACTAAGTTAGCATTTGGGATCAATGGCCATATATGAAATATGTGATCAGTTTACATGTGTAGATGTACCTCTTTAGAGTTCCCGATGCATTGCAAGCTGCCGTTTGCGATAATTCCTATCCGATCGCATAGAAATTCAGCTTCTTCCATCGAATGCGCTGGAAATAGGTGAAAGTATGATGTGATAATATGATGTGGTGCAAAAGATTTCCATGGTGATTAACTGGACTAAGGTTATACTGTTGTATCAGAGTTGAAAGCAAAGTGCAGTACTTGTGAGAATTATGGCCCTGTCCTGCTTGGCAGACTTGACAGCATTCCACAAGTCTTTCCTTGATGCTGGGTCCAACCCTGAGCTTGGTTCATCCATATAAACTACCTGCAGAATGTTAAAAAATGCATGATTTATACATGCAAGAATGTTCAAAATTTCCCTGAATTTGACATATATGAATTGTACCTTAGGGTCACCAATTAGAGAGATTGCAACACTGAGACGACGTTTCATGCCACCACTGTATTTGCTTACAAGCTTATCGGCAATGCCACCAGCAAACAGGCGCACACTTTTCAAAGATTTCTCAATGGCCTATAAAATAAGAAATATGAGATCTTAGATGATTGCTTCAGAACTTGTATTTTATAATAATTTCTCGTGAAATCATAACCACATAAGAACAGAATAACTACTGGGAAAATGTTTGTTGAACCAGTATTTATAATAATCTGTGCTAAAGCGCCTTGGACGATAATGTGTCTTGGATCTTATGTGCAGATGATAAGCTCATCTTTCACTTGTAAATAGTGTTTGAAGTCGAATCCATCATGTTCATCCATGGAAAAAAATCACCATATATTACTTCTTCCGACATTATTGACTTTATTGGGTCAAACTTTTAAAACTTTGACTATCAATAGCTCTCAAGATATTTAGTTTGAAAACATAAAAATCATATGGGTAGAATTTTACTTATAAATTATAATTGCTTTTACAATATTATAGTTTCGTTAGATATTATCGCTATATTCCAAAATAAAAATAGTAGCTAAAGTTGTGCACTAAGACTGGATAAAATCAACAAAATTATATATTTAAATACAGAGGTAGTACGTTATTTACCAAATGGTCACATATTACCTGAGATAATGGTGCACCCCGCAAATTCTTAAGTCTACCATAGAACAACAGATGCTCGCGACCAGTCAGTGTTTCCCATAGCAAGCTGCAACAAGAAAATAAAAGAAGGGGGAAATTTAATTTAAGTTCACCAATACTAAATTGCCTTAAAGGCTGTCCTAAACTAAACAAAACTGTAATTCAGAAACATCAGAGTGAGATTAGATTACTCATGCTGTGGACAAACACCGATTCCTGCATAAATCTTGTTCATCTCGAATTGTATGTCCATTCCTTCAATGTACGCCGTGCCAGACGTAGGTTTAGTAAATCCAGTCAACTGTTGTCAGGATAAGAATTAACCCCCTTAACCAATAATGTCATGTGACCAAATGAAACATCAGTTATATTTGTAAGTAATCTATATAGGGATCATTTGTGACAAACAGAAAATCTGGATCATTTCTTACTACCTAGACATGTTTTCAGATTTTTAGAAATGTATATGCCTGTTCCTGGCCTTGAAAGTGGCCTGTACTTTACATACTAGAGATTTATGGCTATCTAAATATATTATTTATTTCTTTTATTATTAAGATCTAAAATTAAATCATACTTACCATGTTAATAAGAGTGGTTTTTCCAGCGCCATTTGGTCCAAGAACACCAAAACATTGCCCACGTGGCATAGAAAGAGATAGCCCTCTGACAGCAATTTTTTTTGCATTCCCATCTTTTCCATGGTACACTTTCTTAAGGTTGTCACAGATGATCGAGTAGCTATTCTTTGATTCTTGTAAGATCTGTTCAACCGTTTCTCTCTGAGAAATCATGATAGAACAAAATTAATACTCATGATGCTCTGTGCAAATACATACATGCAGGACTAATTTCAACATATTATGCTTGTTTAAACTATCTTATGTATTTGTATTCCATACAGCATTGAAGTTTGGTAAAAAGAAAAAAGGAAGGTAAAAATAAGATAAAGTGAGACTCCAAGTATCCAAGCTAACTTTTGACGTGCCATACTATAAAGGATAAACTGACATATAAGCTGCTTCTAGCCTATGATTAGAAAGCTTAACATAAATGGTCAGAAAGACCAGGAGTCTTACCAGCTAGCACCACAAGTTGGTGGGCTAGCCGGTCTGGGTTCGAGACTTACCCCTGCTTAATACCATCAATATGAATATCCTTCCTTTCATATCCATCATTTTCTTTAGAAATTACAGGAATATACAGAACAAAAGAGCATACCTCTTTGATAACATCTGTCTTCTCATTGTCAGCAGAAGCTTTGAACTCTTGAAGCTGGATGGTCTGCTGAGTAGCTTGAAAACGATTCTTATCAATGTGCGAGTGAAATAGTACTGCTGCTTTTCTTATTCCCTTTTGGAAGGAACCGAAGTGATCCAAATAGAATGCCAATAAAAGGAACAGAAACCATTCTAGTACCATTATGGTCAAAACACTTCTCATTCCATTTTTGGGATCATTCAAGTCAACCCACTTCATCCCGGAAGAGTTCATATAATTCCCGAGCAATGCAGATTGTGCAAACTCATAGATAATGCGATACAATGAAAATGCAGGGAAAAGCTCCAAAAGTGTAATCCAGCTTCCTTGAGACGAACAAATACAAAATTTCCACAAAATTATTGGAAAATAGTGATAGACACTGACATGAGAAAAACACTAAAATCATAGATATTGGCTGCATAAAAATATCCCACATATTTATCTTTACTAATTAGACACCACCATTTTAATCCTACATTCATCGGGTATAAAGAACCATCTGTTATATGCAAAGGAAAACATGCATTTTTTTTAGATAATGAAACAAAATACAGCTTTGATTCAAAAAGACAGTATGTTTTTATTGATTATTAAGTAGATTCAACTGAAAAAAAATGATTTCTATTAAAGGAAAACTAAGAAAGTTACCATGACGACAGCTCATAGCCTCATACACAGCCAAATAAAAAGAAAGATCCTATGGCCACTATAGCAAGACTAGCAAGAGAAAAACATAAGCACAATTGTAATAATGGAAGGGACAAAATGGATACAGCGAACAAAGAATTACGGTATCATTGTAAAAGATAAACTTGTACATACTTGAGAGGAAAACATCTTCAACATAGGACCTGAATAAGAATTCTCCTAAAAGGCCAGAACCAATTATGTAGAAGTATCCTGTCACTGAGGCACAATATGCCAAATAATCAAAGTAAATTTCATAATCTGACAAAATGGATATACTGAGATTACTTATATATCAAAGCATACCAGTAGCTGTCCTCACACTAGAAAAGCATGACGCAGTAAGAAATGCGAACGAAATTTGTAAATTCATATAGGCGAAGTAATACACAAACTGCACACTGTAGTCGTTCAGTCGAAAGAATCTTAAACCTGAAAACAGATAAAGGTACAAGCATAAGCAACTTGCCTCCAATTTATAATTTTTCCATGAGGTTTCTTTTTTCTTGTATCAAACCAGGAACTAAGAAAAATAGGTGAAATATCAGAATTCTGAGACCAAAATCACTGAATACATCCTAGATAAAAAAGATTGTCTTACCAAGAACAGAACCAAATAATGTGAAGGACATCACATAGAGCAGCGAAAGAAGAAAAAAATAGCAGTACGAGATAGTCCAATATGAAAAATCACCAAGACCATGCATCTTCATCATAATCCTTAGCTTCTTTTGCTTCTCGTATACAATGTTGGTCAAAATTACCTAGAGTATTAATTCATTAAACATTACAAATTAAGCTTGCAGCTCAGTTATTTGCTTGTAAAAGTGTCACAAAAAGTCACACATGATTCAAATAAACTGGTGCAATATTCATACCGGGAAAAGAAGTTCCATAGTCCATACATAAGGAAGTTGCCCTATTAATGAGGATATATCAATTGGCCTCATTGGTCGAGCTGCTCTGGGCATGTCTTTGACAAAATCAAATGAGATCTTGAGGCCACTGGCCCTTAGGTGAAGGTATGCATTTGAAGCCTGCAATGTTTAAACTATATGAAATGCAGAGCAGTGATGAAGCATAAGAAATCATCAAATAGCTAGTAAACAGAATAGTACACAAATGAGTGGTAAAATACAGATTTGAGAATGGTATGCGTGCAACACTGATAAGGTTATATATGCGATGATATATGGACAAATATTCATGAACAATTAGGGAGGATATAATGAATGTAAATTATCGACATGTCCAACTTTTCAACTTGGAAAAAAGGATACCATATTGATTAGTCGTGAAACTTGAACCAATCTAGGTGCTTGCCATGCTCCTTGATTAAAAGTGAGTGAGATGTCTTGTTCATAAGCATCAAACTTTTTTGTTGAGTTATACGAGATGAACACGTTAAAGTTGCCTTGATCAGAACTTAAGAAGTCATAAGCTGCAAACAATGAATTCAATGTTAATGAGTGGCAGATTTGAAGAACTGATTGAGGGCACATTGGAGATTACCTGCAGCGATTTCATTGGTCTTCTTCTTATTATTTCCTTGGTAGTAACCTCTATAGAGTTCATCGTTGATGAGCCACAAACTGTCACGCCAGAGCATTAATCCTTGGGTACATTGCACATCTATTCCATGTCCAAGTAAACATTAGAATAACTAAGTTGTAATAACATTGCTAGTTTTGAAAACAGAGAAAATGTCTGTAAATGAATTTATTCACTTTTCCATGTTCATTAGAACCTTAATAGACCAGTATTGAGAATAGTTGACACCATTGGTACGGCACATTTTTCTACTAAACAATGTGCAACCCAACTTTTGTATCTTACATGTAGAAAAACTTACGTTTAGTCTCGGTTGTATTGCCACTTTGATATGTAAAAGAAAGTGTCTGGTTTGGGGTGCATGTCTTCTGAAGAAAGGAGCTGACTTCAAAGGAATTGAAATCCAACTCATCATCTGCCTCTGCCTGCAATTATAGATACATCACAAAATGCCTCAACACTTTTCCATCTTCTAAACATACGCAGCACTAATACATACTATTCTTTAAAAAAAAAGATCAACCAGAACAAAGGTCACACTGAAATCAAGGACACTAACCAGAACATAATCAGACAAAGCGGAAATGTCAGACGGTAGTTTCGCCGAAGAATTATGAGCAGGGAACATATTGTCCATCACCCCTGCATGCAGATCAAGCTATCAAAGACTGAAAGACTGTTCACCGTCAGAGTAAAACTACAAGTCAACATATGCATGTCAATAGAGATCGGAGATGTAAACCATTTTCAGTCTTAAAAAAGGAGAAATTTTATAGTCCTTAAAAAGTATCCGGATGTACCTAGATTTTACATTTTAGTACCTCGAGATACCTACTACTTAGAGATATCAAGTTTTACATTTGAAAATATGTTTATATCCAGACTCATAATGCTACTCGTTAGTATCCTATTTTATACTAGGTAAACACTCCTTTAGGACGATCTTGTAAACACTTGTAACCCTCATTTTCTTCTTAATAAAATTTGGTCGGCCAATCCTTCGGCCGACCCGGTAATTTTATACTAGGTAGCAATATTTTAGGACGAAGATAGTACTTCCCGATACATTTTTAAGGATGGTAAATTTTTTTTTAAAAAAAATAAAACAACGGGACAAGAGCACAACCTTGTAACTGCACCAAAAGAAAAGAAAAAGGAGCATACTTGCTACAAACGATCGGTTGCCGCCGGTGACAAGGAAGGCGGCGGCGCAGGACCCGGCGGCTCTGCACGAGGCGGCGTCGGGGAGATCGCCGGCGGACGAGAGGAGGTCCCCGTCCCCGACGGCGCGGCGCTCCGGCGGCGGGATCTGCAGAAGGGGCGGCCACTTGGGGGCACGCGGCAGCGCGCACCGCGTCGGGCAGTCCAACCCCCCCGTGGCGTTCGCCGCCACGGCAACGCCGCCGCCGCACCCGCCGCAGTCGATGGAGGCGGCGGCGGCGAACTCCCGCAGCATCTCGACGTTGATGGCGATCTGGAGGCCCCCGATGGCCGAGAAGAGGAGCAGCGGGAAGAGGACGATGCAGCAGTTCGTCTTCCCCGCCCGCCTCTGCACACAAGAACAGCAAAATCGAGCTCCATGGGTGACTAATCTTGACGAAGAAAAACAATCTTGGTATGAACAAACATAGCAAAATGGGTGGGAAATCGAATCTTGGAATCAGAAAAAAAAACAAAAAATCGTGCAGCATCGGAATCACCGCATTGAACATAACGAGAACTAATCCCCTGAACATGCGACTTCTTTTCACCCAAATCCGCGAGCAGAAAAAAAACCACCACTAAACAAGAAGCATTTCTTCACTGATTCTAAGTTTCTGACTACTGAATCATCCAAGCAAGATAACGAAGAAGCCACAAAAATGTTCTTTCAAAGAAAGGCATAATTCTGCTGATAAAAACTCTACGGCTCGACGAAATCGAGCCCGAAAAACGAAGAGCAAGATCGATCGAGAGGCCATCAGGCCATCACCTGGATGACGAGGCTTTTCCTGAAGAGGGCATTGGTCTGCGCGAGGCAGCTGGCTGCCATGGCGCTCGCAGCTCGCAGCTCGCCTCCTCCAACCTCGGAGAAGCCGAAGCAACAAGAGAAGAGACGCAGACGCTACACTCTCAAACCGGCCTGAGTGTGAGTGGAGCGAGGCGGCAACGTTAATACGGGGGAAAAGCTTTGCCTCAGCGAAATGACGGTTTTGCCCTCGGAGAGAGGCGGCAACGTTAATACGGGGGCAAGCTTTGCCTCACCGTAATGACGGTTTTGCCCTTGGGAGTGAAGGAAAGTGGCCGCAAGTGGGTCGTCGTCAACTCGTCATCAGTCGTCGCGAGTCAAAGGGGAAATGACGATCACGAGTTTTTTTTTTCTTGGTATGAAAAGAAAGAGGAAATGTGTTGCAAATTTGGGTGACCTGAATTAATACGCGGTCTCATTGTTGGGTGGGTATTTGCTTTTTTTATTTGGGGGAATAAAGATGGTTTTGGCATAGCTATCTATCTACAGCATTGAATGTGTGAGGACTTGAGAATGTGATTTGAAAGACATTATTGGCTAGGCCTGTGTGAGATGTGATTTGTAAACCATTATTGATTTTAAATTTCAAAATTAATTTATTGTTTTTAATTTTATGTTTTTAACCTCACACATTTAAACAATGAAGAATACTGGTATAAAAGTTTTGCCAAAATTATTTTTTTCAATGTTCGATCAAATAATTTGTGGCTGAGTTCGTTTGCTGCAGTTGGGAACTAATCTCCCGTGTACACAAAACGGAGAAACTCATTAGCACATGATTAATTCACTACTATACAAAAGATTTTTCATTGCAGAACTGGTCGCGTTTAGGAAAATATGACCTATTTTTACGTGCGGTCCATTTAAGAGGACCACATGGAAAAATCGATTTTTCCGTGTGGTCTTTGGACAGCATATTTTCACGTACCGACCTATTAAGAGAACTACTCGGAAAAATACCCACCCTCTCTTTCCCTCCTACCCACTTTCTCTCCTCTCCTCTTTTTCTCATCTCCTCTATTACTGTCTCCACTTTCGCTCCTGCCCTCTGCTCTCCTCCCCTCCCCTTCCTTCCCTCCCCGACGACGGTAGTGGCGGCGGCGTGGCGACGGCACGCGGGATCTGGCGGGTGGTGGCCAAGCCCCACAAGGATCCAGCGGCCAGCTGCCCTCCCCCGCGGGATCCCGCTCCCCTCCCCTCCCCTTCCTTCCCTCCCCAGATCCAGCAGAGGGGAGGGCGTTGGCGGCGGTGCGGCAGGAAGGGAGCGCGGAGGTCGGCGGGAGGGCGAATCCGTCGGCCGGCGGCGCAGAGGCCGCCGCCGCCGATGATGAGAGCGGGAGCGGCGTCCTCAGCCGCCGCTGACAATGAGGAAGACAATGAGGAGGACGACGATGACGAGGAGGAGGAAGAGGCGATGGCGCCGCCACCGGATTCGTTTTTTTGAAAAAAAAATTTCCGGATTTTTGTTTTTCCGTGCGGGCAACATAAGCACCTGCACGCAAAAATCGCGATTTTCGCAGACCGTTGGATTCGTGCGGGCCGCCCACCCACACGGGAAAGCCGGTCTCGTAGTAGTGATTAAGAATTAGCTTTTTTCGAAAAATAGATTAATATAATTTTTTAAAACAACTTTAATAAAAAAATTTATTTAGCCGTTTGAAAAGCATGCATGAGTTGGAAAAGGAAACAAACAAACACAACCTCATTTGTCTTCCAGGCGTACTTTTCACATTGGCACGTTGATCCCATATGAATCAAGAGCATAAATTCCAGGTTGCAAATTTAGCATCCGAATTGCTTATTTCATTTCATTCATCAAAATATCTTCACAAAATAGGATGGAAGAAATAAAAATCTACACGACGCACGCGTGTCACTCTCTGCAAATTATCTTCATGTCGCCACGGGCATGTCGTACTGCCTGTATCCATCTCTTCACCAGCCTAGCGCCGCCGGCACGGCGGCGCGGGGGCGGCCGGACGGCGCGACGATGTTGCCGGCGGCGTCGTAGTTGATGACGCCGGAGAACTCGGGGAGCTGGCACTTGCCGCCCATGAGGATGTTCTTCTGCCAGACGCACGACGGCGGCCCGCCCAGCCCGTCGTCCGCCAGCTCGCCGCCGGCGCCGACGCCGACGACGCCGGGCTGCACCTGGTGGATGCTGACGATCACCGGCTCCGTCCTCCGCCGGCTCACGCTCGCCAGCGCGCGCCGCAGCCGCTCCGGCGCCGCGTGCGACGCGCACAGCGCCAGCGCCAGCGCGCACACGGCCAGGAACGCCGCCGCCGCCGCGCCGAGCTTCCCGCACGCCGCCGCCGCGGCCACCGCCGGCGTCGCAGCGTGCAGGACGAGGTGGTGGCGCGCCATTGCTAGCTAGCTAATTGCAATTTTCTCGTGTGCGAGAGATCGTTCAGGCTCGCGTCGTTGGTGGTGTGTCTTCCTGTGATTTGGAGCTCGCTAGATTTTTATACTAGGTGAGGACTAGCTAGAGTTTTTTTTTTTAAAAAAAAATGTTCCCGCGCTTTTTGTGGAGTTGTTTTACTTGCTTGCAAGGAGCAGCAGTGCATGGAGTTGGTAAGGGTAGTTTGCTAGCTCAAACTTGCCTAACTCAACCTGAACCATTTCACTTTTCAAGTCTTGTGGATTGCCAAGGTGAGGTGACACTGTACATATCTGTAAGCTGCAAGCCTGCTCCTACTAGAAATTGATGTAGGTCTTGTTTAGATTCAAAAATTTTTGGCAAAAAAATATAACATCAAATGTTTGGACACATGTATAGGGCATTAAATATGGGGAAAAAAACTAATTGCACAGTTTGCATGTAAATTGCGAGACGAATCTTTTGAGCCTAATTACGCCATGATTTAAAAATATGATGCTACATTAAACATTTGTTAATGACGGATTAATTAGACTTAATAAATTTGTCTCGTAGTTTACAGACGAAATTTGTAATTTATTTTGTTATTAGTCTACGATTAATATTTTTAATGTGTGTCCGGATCCTTCAAAAACTTTAAACACACCCTTAGTACTGTAGCTTTTTTGTGGCAGATGTAAGTTAAGGGTGCAGGATGGCTATTGTTTTGCTTCACTGGGAGTGAGCGTTAACTGTTTTGTTGTTTTCACATCATCAATACTCCATATAGGAGGAAAAAGTGATCCATATCTCTATATGGTCTTGCTCAAGTACTGTGGAAGTGAGCCACATATAGCAGTTCATATGTATATGAGCAGACCATAAGAATAAAAAAGTAATAATATTCTCTTCTAAGTTCCCATCATATGCTGGTGGGTCCCATATTAAAGTTTACACATCATAAAAGTTGAAATAACAAGAGCTCACTGCTTGGTAAATACAGCACTGCTTGTGATGAGATAAAAGGAAACCTTATTGATCTTAAAGAAGATGATATAAATACTCCAAGACTACCTCTAGCCTCTCTACCTAGGATGCACTTAACCTATATTTATTGAAAAATTAAGAATGAAAAAAGAACGACATGATAACGAATATCGAGCTACAAGCCTACAACCACAAGCGATTTTCATCCTCATACCACACCGAAGCAACACTCGGACTGCTTCGTGATTATTGCCCAATAGTGAACAAATAGAAAATACCTCAAGGTGTTGCCATTTTTGCTGTTATCTCTCAAGCAATCCAATCCTAGTTCTTGTTCGACAAGAAGAATTGTGATGTTTGACATGCATTTTTCATTTCCATGAGTGTGAGGATCTAGATATATCATATATCATGGTTTTGGTTTTCTTTATTCATGATTACTCTATCTACAACACAAGTCTCTGCATAAGTTCATCATATTGCCGTTTTGCCATTCCATTCCATTCCAAACAAGAAAAATACTAGTGACCAAGGCTGTTTTCCAGTTCATACGGCGCATAATAAATCAATTGGAGTGACAAATGCTAATTCAAACTTCAAAGCACATAACTATTTTACGTGCAATTGGTTCGTCGTATCCCCTGCTTCTTATCACTTAACTTTCAATTTGGGGCAAAACTCTCTTTCAAGATCCTGAGGGCTTCTCCAATCCCGTCCTGCGAAAAGCAACATGAAAAAAAGTTAGCTACAGAGTTCCTTCAAAGAAAAATAAGCATGGTTAGCATTCGTAATCTGTTAGTGAAGAACACGCCTCAGAAGAAAGTTTGTTAGCGATTCTGGTTGCCTGAGCTTTAATTTCAGGTGATAATGCCGATTTGATAGCTCCAATCAGCATATCTGCAGCACTGTTGATGCTTGAGGCATTGTCAGTATCCGGAATTAGATGTTGTCTTCCTAGGGGCTCAGGTGCCACTCCTAGCCAGTGTAGCCTTTCTGCCCAGTAAAACTGATCCAGCAGGAAAGGACATGAAATCTGCATGACAGGATTGTGTGAGCAATCTGAAACCATCTAATAACATAATTTTATAACAGCCATGTAATATGTTGAGTATAGAATATAGAACATTATTTGAATATTTGCCTGTCACCCTGGACCACTCCATAGGTTGTTTCTAAGTGATGTCAAAAACAAGAGTAGAAAGAACAACATTGAACCACCCGAGTGATCAAACAATACAAAATATATCGGTGCAAAGCTGCTGTATTTATCACCTGAGGGATGCCGGCAAAAAGTGCTGCAGCTGTAGATCCACTGTTATGGAAGTATTGGATAATTAGAAATTCTGTAGAGTAATGGGAAAAAATTTTCAATCATATGCTGGGCCACAGTGAGAAAATGTAAATTTATTTTACCTGCCAGCATGGTGAATAGCAACTGCACATTTAGGAAACAGCCAACTGTATGGTATTGATCTGAAAAGGTAGTCATGTCATTGGCCAGTGCATGTACAGGTTTCCAGCAAGAATAAAGAGATTTGTGATATTACTCACCCAGAAAAGCAAAAGAGTCGACCATTAAAAAGGAGATTGCTGTCACAATGAAGAGCAGATGCCTGATACTCACTTGATTCTGCTACTGAAGGAGCAAAATATTGTATTGCAGAATCTAATGGCTGGTATCCAGATGAGAAAAGGATAAATCTGTAATCTGTTTTCTCTATGACAGCTTTAAGCACCATCAGAAATGCTTTTGGATTTCTAAGAAAACCCATGCTGCAGGAGGTTGATGTCATGATAAGTATACCAAGAAAGGCCTAATTCAAATTTTTGCTAATGAAATAGAAGAAATTTGACTCCTAAAGTTATGAAAATAAGCACAAAATAAGAACAGTGAGCTTGTCAACAGCAGATTCAAAATGCGCATTTGTGAGCGGTCGATACTTCTAAGGGCATGAGCGAGATGTCAACTTCATCAAGGTTGATTCTCGTATCTTAGTAAGTTACAAATCAGATAACACTTATGGAGAAATCATACAGCTCTAAAGTCTAACAAACAAAATGTAAAATATATAAACATATCAAGGACACTGCACTGGCTAAGAGAAATGTCGTTGTGAAATAGAAAAACAGACATAAATTCGTTAGAATAAGAAACTCACCTACCAATGGAACTTAATCCTATAAATATAGGTAAGGACGAATAAGAATTTCCCATGGTAAAGTGTTCTAGGCCAGCATGATTTACACAGAGAGCACCACCAGAATTACTGGCATTTCCACACAGTAACTCCTTGCATTTATTACAAGAAAATTGCCAAGCCATAGGAAGAAACCAAAAACCACAAACATGAGCGCTGAATGGCCAATATCCTGTCATGATGTTACACAATAAATATCAAACTTTGGTTTCATGTGAATGAATCCTATATTATTATATAGTTCATTCCCACTAAGTATAGTTAATGCTATTTCTCTCTTATCTCATGAAGCTACATCATCCCAATTATTTCTACTCTTTGGATGATAGATCTATGGTACAAACACTTCTTTCTTCTCTCATAAAACCATACAATCTCAATTATTTTTAGGCTCAAAATTCATAAGTATCAATTACATAAAATATGTTCACCTTGCATTATATTTGCAACCATGTGTAAATTATATAGAACATAGGAAGTCATTTTGTTTTGGCTTAGAAAATATATTACAGCTTATTTGTATATATTTTCCTGCAGCAAATACGGCGGGGTATTCATCTAGTTAAGTATAAACATCTGTAAGGATTTAAGGTAGATACAAAGACCTCAGCATTGCTTACCTGGGCACTCAACAATTTCCTTGCTGAAACCATACCTGCTCAAATGATGAACAAGGAGCTCATTTATTCAGTATAATCAAGTAATCAAAAATTCAAAAGCAGCTATAACATTTCATTTTCAGACAACTGCTTTATCCATGCCCAACTCATAACTACTATCACAAGTCCTAGTTGGCTTAATTTAGCAATTTAAATTCTTCAAAACTATGACATATGAGGGTGACAATTTCATATATGTTAATATCAAGATACAGGCTTAATATCGATAGAGTAAATGAGTCTTACAGCAACAATGGGGATTCTTCTCGCATATACCACAGAGGAAGATTTGTTACTGGATCCTGCAGTTATTAAAAAAAATCTGACCTCAGTACAGACCCTATGGGAATTGCACATAAATAGAATGGAGAATGGATTGCATAGATAAAAACAAAAATTATATACTGTAAATGCTTTCACTCACTGTAAAAGGAATTGGGCTAAGATTTAGACTATCATTTCTCCATGATCCCCAACTTTCCATGAACAATGCCCACATCCAGTGGGTAATGTCTGTCCAGCAAACCTGACATGTTTCCCAGCATCAGTTTTCCCGGTGCAATGCAGAAGATGCATTAGAAGGCAACATAAGGCGGCATATTGTCCACATATATCAAAGCAATACATTTGATAATGTGATGCTAAGGACAGGAAACCTGATGATTGCGGCTTCAAAGGATCAAATGAAGATCCTGATTAAACTTTAGGAATTGCAATAGGCAGGATACTGCTCTATTGTTTAGTATTCCATAACAACGGTTACTAGATATCACACACACAATGTGAACTTTTGGTAAATGCTAGAATTGTAAAATATTATCATTATATAAGCCTTAGCAGCAAGTTGAAGGTGTAATGCTAGAACATAGGAAAACGAACCAACCAAAAGTGAAAAAAAAAAGAATTCAAGGAGGTAAAATACACTAGCATTACATTGCTACTAGAAGAGCAAATTTTGTACCATGTTCAGGGGAGCTTCTTGAAAGTACTTGTATAGAAGAGGAAGACTTTGTTTAAATTGGCGTTCAAATGATGCAGGTGCACTACAAGTAAATGAATTAAAGTCATAACGAAGACAATTGAAAATATGGGGAAAATCCTCATAAAATAAATAAAAACTGGAGTTGAAATCAGTAAAGCCCCAAGTTACCTGTATGGAACAAAATAGGGAGCAGCAATGATGCACTTAACTTGGAACAATTCTGCAAGATGCCAACCTTCCTGAATTGTGAGAAAGATCCAAATTACGTATATAACCACATATAGGACAGACTAACAGGTATAGTCCTGGAGCTGTTCTAGTGCCAAATATGGATAGTGCAGAGCAAGGTTCTAGAATTATCTCCGATTCTTGCAACTTAATGGAGTATTATGACCATAGAAGGCATTTAATAGATACACCATAGATTATTCCTAGATAAGACTGACTGACTGACTGAGATTGTACTGGAAATGTTCGGGTGCATCCTCAAACAATGAAATTCCATATTTTCAACATGAATTGGTGTGGCAGGACTGTATTATTACCTCCAATATTTTGAAGAATGAATTAAGCTACATAAGGACTAACTGAAAGTTGAACCAGGAGCTCCACAACTCAACTTATAGCAAGCTTTGTTAATGGGATCCTCACCAACGCAAAGAAGTTGATCACAATGAAATCACCATGAGTGCTCATGTCATTTCCAAAAACATTTTCGACGGCAGACAAGCACTCTCTCCTGTGCTCCACTTGAATGGTCTTTTTCCTCTGCGAAAAGGAGTCATGCTCAACATTTGATTGAACAGAATCACCTATCAAAAATGCTTACATGATAAACCATATTTGCAAAAAGAGAAATCACGAACATGAAATTGGACAGACTTCACGGCACTTACATGAGATGCTCTCGAGCTGTTCGGCAGCAAGGACAGGTGGGCTTGACACAGGCATATATCTAACATTACAGTCTGCTAGATGTGTCGACAAGCTCTGCATCAAATTCACTATGTGAAACTGTGATCCCAGTAAAGCTAAGCCAGCTAGGCAAGTTTATATTGAGTTTTAGTTTCTACAAGAATCAAACCTGATGTGCTGAATGTGTGATGAACACTACACCATACTGTCGTTGGTCCTGCGCAAAAGCTGCAGCAAGTGCCTAAGAAAAAGGGAAAAAATATATCCAAAATTAGGCGTATAGACTCTAAATGGGTTCATCCCGAGCTGTAAACTGTTCGCTGTCTGTTCGGTGACATCCCCATCCGCAAGAAAATCAAGTGGGATTGCATCTTGCGCTCGAATCCCCACGGACAAAGAGACGAAAAAAAATACGAAGAGAGGGAAGAGCGCGTACAGCTATGGGGAAGACGTCGCCGCGGGTGCCGAAGGCCATGAACACGGCACGAGGCCGCCGGCCTCCGCCGCCGCCGTCCATCGCCTCGTTGAGCCGCCGCACCGAAGGTCGGGGTCTCTGCGGCGGCGGCGGCGGCTGTGGCCTGTGGGCCTTTCCAGGTGAAAATATGGGCTCTAACCACTTTCCGTTTGGGCCCAGATACTTTCGGCCCAGTACGTGCGCGTCCTAATAAGCTTTCGCGTCGTCTCCTCGACTCTCGTTCGAGTGCTCGTCACAGGCGGCTCCACTTCTCCGCTGGTGCGGCGGCGACGGCGACGGCGACGGTGCCCCGCGCGCCGGAGAAGGCCCCGCGCCGCATCTACGTCCGATGGCCTCCTACCAGGTTTGTTCCGTGGCGCTGTTTCTCTGTACGCATGTTTGCAATGGCGGCGGCGGCGGCGGGGGTGTGGCGGTGGAGGTTGGTGTTCGCCACGCGTGCGCGTGGTGTGTTCGTGGAAATGCCCATGAGGGTGTCACGCGCCTGCACGGCTGCACTTGGACATTCCAGCGGCAAATCACCATGTTAGTTTCTAGGATTTAACTAGGAAAACGATAATGATGCAATTAGCAGAACTGCAGAAACGCGTCGCTGGATTGCCGTACCTTTGTGGATTACGGGGGACCTGAACTTTGGGGGCAAACAGGGGTGGGGAACTGGGGATTATATTGCTGTTTCGCATTGCATCTGTATGGTCAATTGCACAGGGGGTTGGATTAGTTGGCAATTTTGGAAAACCATAGGCTCAACAACTCAACAGGTTCTTATATCTTCTCTTTTTGTCATGTTTTCAGGATCTGGTTAAACAACATAGGCTATACAATATGAATAATATCGTACAGACTAATAAAGTTTATCCCAGGAACAAGAATGCCATTACACCATACCATTTTATGGAATCTCAATCTAATTAAGAACGATAGTTAAAAACAGCAGCATACAAGCTCAGATAGGAATCTTAATTGCAGGTTATGGAAAAAAACAGAATAATTGGCTTGGTGGACCAATATTATTTTTTTAATACCAAATGGAATTCGTTACAACTCTCAAAGTGTATTAAAAGTAGTTGTACAAACATCCAAATTACAGCTGAAACTATTGGTACTATTAGGTGGGGAACAAAAGTTGGAGCTAGAATTTTTCATGCATTCACCTCTATCTGTTTTTGTTTTTATTTCTTCCTCATAAAGAACAAGATTGCACGTCCCATTATGATCATTTCAACAAAAAGATTTCTGCAATTGTCAGTACTATTTACCATCGCAGCTAGCTCCTTGTTCTCATTGTAACTCAAGAAATGACTGTCTTATTGTGCCCATTTCGGCAGAAACCTGTGACATTCCTAATCGGTCTTTTGGTGATATGGACGAACACAACAGACCCAGCTTAACCATTGGTATGATGCAACTCTGCATTATTTCAGTATGATATTTTCCTCCATTTAGGTCACTCTGCAGCATAATGGGATCCAAAATCTCATCTAGTTTGTGTGGAAATGCTGACTCCACGAGTTCATGAAGGCTTAAGCCATCCTTCAATTTGTCATCACTTGGACGCTTCCCAGTTAATATCTCTAATAAGAGCACTCCATAGCTGTAGGCATCGCCCTTGGTTGAGATAGGTCCACCCATTCCGTACTCTACATATGTATTTAAAAACAGAAGTATTCATTTAATAATAAGGAAAATCACTTGAATATAGTATTGGATAAGTAAATCAAGTGGGAAAACCTTATATAAATTAGAAGAAAAATAGATAGTGAATGGTTCGTCTCACCTGGTGCAATATATCCGATGGATCCTTTCAAATCAGCCAAACTAGTTGAATTGGCGCATGCTGCAGTTGTAGTGCACATGAATCTTGCCAATCCAAAATCACTGACATATGCCGTCATCTGTAGATCTAACAGCACATTGCTTGGCTTAAGGTCACAATGTATTAGTGGAGATGCAGACTGGTTGTGAAGATAATCTAAAGCATATGCTATATCCAGAGCTATGCTAATCCGATCACCCAAAGTTAAGACTTGTTTCTGATTATGATCATAGACTTTCTGATGCAGCCATGTTTCTAGGCTTCCATTAGGCATATATTGAAAGATGATTGCTTTGAATTCTTCTCCTTTGGGATCCAAGGTTGAACATAAGGTGATGACTTTGACAAGATTGCGATGTCGGATGTTTTTCAAGGCTTCACACTCTGCAATAAAGCTTGAAGGTCCTCCATGCCTATTGAGATTGAAAACTTTAATAGCTACTAGATCAACCTCAAGCTCCAAGGTGCCCTTGTAAACATCTCCAAAGGATCCTGAACCAACCAAGTTTTCAGTAGAGAACCCTTTCGTTGCTTGGACAATGTCTTTATATGAAATTATCTTCGTATCCATGCTAATGTCTGTCAATATTGGCTTTTCTTCTCTTCTTTTCAAGCAGACAGTGAGTAAACAGATCAGTGAAATTACAAGAACAATGGCAGCAATTGGAACCACTATCATTAAAATAATGGACTTATGCTTTGTTCTTCTGTCTAATGCAGGACAATGAGGCAGCCCTAACTCTGGGGTGTTGGCACATAAACCGTCATTTCCTTGAAGGGACACCCTGCTAGCATTTCTGAAAATGCCGGTTGATGGAACAGGTCCATCAAAATCATTAAAAGATAGATTAAGATCCTTCAAATAATTCATGGATGCAAAAAAATCTGGAATGCTCCCTGATAAGTTGTTTGAAGAGAGATCCAACTCCTTGATGCTTCTTAAATTCATGAGAAAATGTGGAATGCTTCCTACAAGGAGATTTTCTTCCATGTGAAGGGACTCTAGAAGCACACACTTTCCGAGAGTGGATGGAATGTTGCTAGTGAGGCGGTTGTTGGAAATGCTAAGGCTGCCAAGATTTATGAGACCTCCAATCTCCAGTGGTATAGGCCCAGCAAAGGAATTATGCGACAAGTCCAAGCTTTGTGACAGTGAAGAAATATTAAATACCTCGCTTGGTATGCTTCCACCAAATGAATTGTGAGAAAGATTCAACTTCTCTAAATGTCTCCATTGCCCTAAACTTGCTGGTATAGTCCCACTGAAGTTGTTTCCATCCAAATATAACTCGGTTAGTTTTACAAGGTTGCCAATGGAATCAGGAACATGGCCAGAGAGATTATTTTGTGCAAAGCTTAGAACCAGTAAGTTGCTTAGATTTCCTACGGAAGGAGGGATTGTACCAGTGAACAAATTTTGATCCATATACAGCACTTCGAGGCTCCTAAGGTTTCCAATCTCCAAGGGAATTGTCCCAGAAAGTTTGTTTTGCTTGAGCCAGAGCCACTTGAGCTCCGAGGGAAGATTACCAACTGAGCTTGGCAAGTGTCCTTGCAGTCCATTCCCATCCAAGCAGAGTCTTTGCAGCTGAGTGCAGTTTGCAAGGGATGAGAGGAAGCTCCAGTCACCCGCCTCAAGCTGGTTATATGCGAGATCAAGTTGTTGCAAGTGTGACAAGGAACCAAAGGATGGCAGTATTCCAGTGAGCCCAATATCAACAAGATGAATTATTTCTAGCTTAGAAGCATTAACAAGAGAAGCTGGGATTGGTCCACTCAAACGTGTTTTTGATAGGATCAATCTCTGAAGGTTTGGAAGCTTGTAGCCAATATCTGGTGGCAGTCGTCCTATGAGTGAGTTGTTGGCCAATTCTAGATATTTCAGAGATGATATATTGAAAATAGACTGGGGTACCTGACCCGACAAGTTGTTGATTGAGAGTATTAGCATCTCGAGAGTTGGGATTCTACTTAGGCTCTCAGGGATGCTTCCCACAAGGTTATTTGCTGCAAGGGAAACACCAACAAGAGAGGAAAGGTTCCCTATTGAGGCAGGTATCTCACTAGTGAGGTTATTCTCTGCTAGACTGAGGTATTGAATAGGTGCAGCAACTGCTGTAACAGGTGGTATGGAACCAATTAATTTGTTCCTGTCGAGGTAAATGGCTGTCAGAGAGGACGTGTTGAAGAGAGCTCGTGGCAGCGCTCCTGTAAGTTTATTTTGTGTCAGGCTAAGAAATTGGAGAGATGAGCTATTCGCCAAGAACTCGGGGATTCCTTCAGAGAGGCCATTTCCTCCCAGATCAACATACGTGAGAGATGAGCCACTGCCCAACAACCACGGTATGTTACCCACCAAAGTATTGGTGGCAAGGTTCAGAATTTTCAGCTCACGAAGTGTGCCAAACCCACTAGGAATGCTTCCTTGCAGCTTGTTGTTTGACAGGTCTATGAGCTGGATATGAACGAGTTGGGCTAGGCTTGCAGGGATCTCACCTTGGAGGGAGTTGTTCCACAAGCTCAGGACTTCGAGACGGCTACAGGAAGATAACTCGGCTGGGATGCGGCCATCGAGCGAATTGACACTCAGGTTGAGGTGTCGTAGTTGTTCCAGGCGGCTAAGCTCAGCTGGTATACGCCCGTGAAAGCTATTGTTCGACAGATCAAGCCTCTCAATGGAGCTCAAGTTGGCTATGCACGGAGGTATAAGGCCATCGAGCTGACAGGAGCTGAGGTCTAGCACGGTCACGCGGCCTGGCATCGTCGTACTGCAGGTCACGCCATGCCAGTGGCAGAAGTCGAGAGAGGTGATCCTCCATGACTCTAGGGCTCTGGCTGGATCAGAGACCAGAGACCTGAAGGAAAGGAGAGCCTGCCGATCAATGTCATTGCCGTCGCCATGACCTGCTGATGATGACGATGGCCATGAACATGTCAAGGCAAGGAGGACTAGAAACAGTGCAGGACTAGTTGGGCTGATCATACTACTGGTGTGGCTGCAGCTACTTGTGCTTGTGATGTAAGCTTCAGGAAGCATGCGTGCTTCTTTTATATGGCTAAGCACCTTGCTCACTTGACTGGCTGGCAACTTGTTCAGATCAACGGTATCATCTGCTGGGATTCAGAAACCAGCATTGTGGATTGGTTTTGAATGTTTCGATCAAAGTTAGGTACGTACCCCATCTTCCCTACAAATGTTTTCCGAATAAATTACGCTCTTCAGTCTCGGATGGCAGGCTGGGCACTTGGGCAGCTCAAAGATTAGTACTACTCGACAGAAGAATGGATACCAATGGGCTATCAAGACATCAAGGGGAGTACATTTGCTGTGCGGCCGAAACTGCTGTTTGCTCAATGACGCTGCTTCCGATCGAGCGGCCGACGCCGTTGATAAGCCGCTTGTATTGACCGGTGTCAGTAGGAAGGAGGCCAGGGAGCATGGGGGAGAGAGGAAAGTTTGTATTCGCCGCGTCCCAGCGCCACTGACATCGAGACGATAAGAACCTAGGGAAGAAAGAGACAGAAAATTTAGAGGATTGGAAGTTTCTCTGCTACCTTCCCGGTAGAGAAAAAAGAACAAAGTTAAGTTAACACGCTATGTTTACTGAAGGTAACTGTATGTATGAAAATTTAGAGCAGTTACAGTCGAAATTAAGGCCCGCTAGGAGAGCTAGAGATTATGAGAAGCTGGTGCATATTATAATTTGTAAATTCTATAACTTCATAGAAATGGACCGATGCTCTGCCTCCCAATCTGGTTGTGAGGGTATTGGGGATCCACATATCCGTGTGATACCTATAGTTACTTTGAACATGGCTTATATTTTTACATATTCATAATAAATTTTGAATAGATGAATGGTCAAATGTTTCCAAAGTCAACCGTGTTAAATATTTGTGACTAAAGAGAGTAAAAAATATATATATGTGCGCTGAGTTAGGTTGGACCATTACCACTCCTATCTTCAGGCCGTCGAACATACCGCGCAATTCATGTTTGACACCTTCTTTGTCTTCAAATAATTAAGAGCTTGTTTGGTTTGGTTCCAAAACTTGCCCTAGCAAAACACGGGCAACTTCAGTAGTATCTTTTGTGTGTTTTGGTTGAAGCCAATATGTGCTAATTAAACCAATATAAGCTAGGAACCCTTGTCCTACCGTAATTTTGATAGAGCCAAAACTTACCCAAGCTTTGACACTATCAGTATTTAGTACTGCTATACGTACGATGCAGTTGTATAACTCATATTGAGTACTGCTATACGTACGATTCAGTTGTACAACTCATGTACAACTAGAGATATGTAACCATATATCAATCAAAAGAGAACATGTTCTTATGCACTATAGTCGTTTACAACCGTTGATCAAATTCAGTAGTACGTGAGTTGTGTCGTATGTATAGCTATTTTCATCAATATTTGATAGGGTAACAATCCAAACATGACTTATTAAGTTCATAACTATTTATCTTCAAACTTGATGTCATGTTTTCATTTTCAAAATAAAATTCATAAAAATTGGCATGTTATGAAAATGTATTGGCTATTTGGCTATTAATAAAACTTCCGTTTCTATACTGCCTCAATTTCCAATGCGATAGGTCGCATCGACGATATATAAGTGGTAGTATAGGATTTAGGATGATCCGCAGATCATTAAAGAACCATGCACGTGACTTGTTTGGGATTATTCGTGGCGCCCGCCGGCCGACGATGTGTATACCGACGGCTGGAACTCACCGGACGGAGCTGAACATCTCCCGTCCGAGTCCACAGGTTTCAATTAATTGTACTACTTTAGCCGTACGCCCACATCGATCTATGCGGTACGACGCTGTTAACTTTTTAATATATGTTTGATCATTTGTCTTATTAAAACGATTACGTAATTATTATATTTTATCGTGATTTAATTTATCATCGAATGTTCATTAAGCATGACTTAAATTTATTTTATGTTTATACAAAATATTTAAATAAAACAAAGAGTAAATTTCACCTAGGGCCTAATTTATTGGCCAAAGTTTCTCAATGAACGAGGTCTAACTCTACCTTTTCACTTAACACCAAGAACGATTACCTTGTTTTACAGTTTGGACCGGGTTTTAATACTTTGTGCCAGGCTTGAGCCTAGTGAACTCAGTTCAGGGAAGAGGAGGTATTGAGGGAGACTAGTGCACAGGGAGGAGGAAGATAGTGCCGTGGAGGTGGAGGGGGTTCACATCCTCTACCTTAATGGCACTATCATTACAGGCATTGACGTGTGGGGTAATAGGAGGGTGGGACCACATTATAGTGATTGTAATGGTAGTGACATTATATTAGAGGATCCTCACCCAGGTGGAGGCGGACTTGCTCAACTCCTCTGTCTCCACCCTCGCCACCGGCGGCTCCCGGCCGCGTCTCCCGAGCGGAACGGCACAGCGGCGGCGTGCTCTTCTCCGGCTCCGACATGGCATGGCGGCGCGCTCTTCAGCTCCGGTGTGGTACTGGCTGAATGAATCAGTTTTGTTTGTTTCTGAATATGTGTGCATTGTGCAAGTAAGATGGAGCTGTAAGTTTTGCCACTAAACACGAGCAAAGGGGTTCCAAGTTCCATATGTACATGTACCTGATGAGGTACAACGAATTATCGGGACAACATAACACTTGTGATATTTTTTTTCCAGTGCCTTCTCTTTAGTGGTACTTACCTACAATACACAGAGATAATAAATGCTACTCCAACTTGGTGAGACTTTTGGAATCCTCTCCCATCCTGCCACGAGCTGAGAAGGAGCACTGCATGCACCCCGTTGCCGGCACCGCGGTCGAGCTGGAGAAGAGCATGCCACTGCCGTGCCACGCCAGAGCCGAAGAAGAGCACGCGGCCGCTGCGCCATGCCTCACCGGAGCTAGAGACACTATTAGAAAAAGCATTTTTTATGTGAGGATCTTTTTTTCCGCAGGCAGACATAACCCTTGGAGCCAAATGACCGCCTACAAAAATATAAATCAAGGTGAAGTTCGCTGTCCACGCAGGCGGACCACTTAAGCGGTGCCTGCGAAAATCTATTTTCACAGGCGAACCTTATGTTGTCCGCCTGCAAAAATCGCACCTACCAAAAAAAATCTTAAGTCTACCCTTATATATTCTCCTCCCACCCCTCCCCACCACTCATTTCCTCTCAACTCTCTCTATCTCTCTCTCCCTCAACACTCAGTCTCCTCTCATGTCCTCTCCCTCAACACTGTGGCGGTGCGGTGGGGACGGCCACTGCGGCGGCGCGGACAGCGGCGGGGCGCGGCGTCGCGCGCGGGGCGGCCGGCAGCGTCTCCCCTCCCTCCCTCCCTCACAGATCTGGCCGGAGGAGGGAGGGGGAGGCCAGCGGGGGCGGCAGCGACGACGACGGCGCGGGGCGGCGGCGGCGGCGGCGGCTCCCCTCCCCCCTCCCTCCCAGATCTGGCCGGAGGAGGGAGGGGAGAGGCTGGAGGGGGTGGCGGCGACGACGACGCGCGGGACGGTGGCAGCGGCTCCCCTCCCCCCTCCCTTCCAGATCTGGCCGGAGGAGGGAGAGGGGAGGCCGGCGGCGGCGGCGAGGACATCGTGGGGTAGCGGCGATGACGGCGCGGGGCAACGGCGGCTCCTAGCGCGGCTCCTCTCCCCTCCCATCCCAGATCTGGCCAGGGAGGGCGGCGGCGGCGAGGCGCGTCCCGCGATTTTTTTTTGTTCGTTCATTGCATTTTCCCAGGCGGGCCATTGCCCCGACTGCGAAAATCGATTGTGCTGCAGGCGGTCCTCCCTCCCGTCTGGAAAAATTAGTTTTGCCTGCCTGCAAAAATATTTTTTTAGTAGTGAGAAGAGCACACGGCTGCCGCGTCGTGCCACGCCGCCGCTGCATCGTGCCGCTCCGTAGGCGCGGGAGCCACCGGCGGCGAGGGTGGAGACCTTGGCGTTGAGCAAGTCTGCCACCACCTCCACGTCTCCACGACACTACCTTCCTCCTCCCCGTGCGCTAATTTCTCTTCCTGAACTGAGTTCACTAGGCTCAAGCCAACGTGGTGGCACAAAGTCTTAAAACCCGGTCCAAACTTCAAAACAAGTTAATTATACCTTACAAATTTGCTATCAATCTGTCGACAGAATTTTAGTTAGATATTTGTCGATTTATAGACCGTATGATTTGCGTGAAGATTTGTGCTAATACGGTCGATAAAAAACACATGCGTGTGCATAGCGGGGGATCGGTTCGAGGATCACTGGTTGCCCTGTTAGCCGTATACCAAGTAGCAGTTAAGCTAAATTGGTTGAAGTTATGGTGTTAATAAACTAAAATATACGTTATAAATGTAAATACACTGTATTATCGGGAAGGCTAAATGGCTGTCGAATGTTTTTTTGATAGCTAAATCATTCATGTTTCAATATATTTAGAACTGTTGTATGATACGTTGTAGTAAAATGTTTCATGAGGTGATTTGATTGTGTTTCAGCTTTTTTAAAAGATTGAAATATTTTCAATCTACTTGATGAAACAGCGTTCGATTGGCTTCAAAATCTGTATGATGAAAGCCTAAAAAATCATGCGAATCCTATATAGACTTTTTCTCGATGTACTCGGATTTGTTTCATGTTTCAATATATTCAGAATCGTTGTTTTATAAGTTGTAGCAAAATATTTCATGGGGTGATTTGATTGTGTTTTAGTTTTTTTAAAAGATTGAAACATTTTCGATCTACTTGGTAAAACACTGCATGATGGAAGCCTAAAAATCATGCGAATCCCATATAGACAGCCCCAATAAACTATGCAATATATCTACTAGATATCACTATAAAATTACAGTCCTATATAACTAAAATTATATTTGTAAATTCAGTTGATATGATATGTGAGTGCACTGTAATTTTGATAGAAATATTACGTAAGTAAATATGTATTTTTAATTTTCTTTTATAGTTTATTGGATATAAATCTAATAGTAAAAAAAATCTCGCTGATTTTTTTTAGAAATCACCCAACAAATGTACCAGGGCAACAAGAGATCCTCGAATCCATCCCCCGCTATGCACAAGCATGTGTTTTTTATCCGCCGTATTAGTATAAATCTCCACGCAAATCATACTGTCTAAAAATCAACAAATATCTAACTTAAAGATATGTCGCTAGACTGATAGCAAATTCGAAGTGAAAAGGTAGAGTTAGGTTTGGTTCAGGGCGGAACTTTGGTCAATAAATCAGGTCCAAAGTGAAATTTCCTCTAAAACAAATAATCAACCGGTTGACTTCATCGTTGCCTTTAAATATGTGGGTAGGTTAGTTTTGGACTAATTAAGAATCAGGCAAGCAAGCACGTACGTTCGTACGCAGACAATTTAAGGTTCACCGGAAGCGGATTTAAGCAAGAAGTGTAACCGATCGACCGGCCGGCGGTAGATCGCCGTCGATCGACCATAGTCGGAGTTTCTCGATCTTCTTCTTCTCTGCGCGCGAGGCGGACAAGCAGCTTAGTTTGTGCAGGCTGCAGGCAGCCATGGAAGCTGCTCGTCGTGTTCGCTCCTCCGAGCTACGAGCGGCCATAGTCGTGGCGGTCCTCCTCCTCCTGCTGCTGCTGCTCCAGCTGCATGCTATTTCTGCCTCAGCCGCTACTAACACCAGTTCTTCAGGAGGATATGGTTCTGGTGGTGAGTATTTAAGCAGTGTACGATATCAATATATTGGCATTGCCTTTCGCCCATGATTAATTGCTCTGGTATGCTGTACTGTAGGAGTATTATATTGCACGGGCGTGTATATGATATATCTGCTACTGAGTAAATCAAAGGCAAATTAAATATATATTTTGCTAATATTTCAAACGATTTTATTTGTGAAAAATAAAGCATTTTAATTAATTGTGGTATAGTCGGTTAGATGTCATGTTTGTAGGGTTCATTCAGAATACATGATTGAAAATACGTAGAAATATAATTGTAAAACAGATAATTGAAAAAAAAAATGTGGGATAGTTGATTGGATGGAGTAAAGGAAAAAACATAAGAATAAAAAAATGGGTGCCCTGTAACAAATCATGACAGTACATGCTAGTGACGTGAATAACATTAATGAAATCAAAATTGTCCTTTGTGCCTTGATTAGTTGCTTGATAGCCTGATTTTGCCTCTCGTTCCCACGTGAAGAAAGAGAAAAAAGAGGTCAGCGTGCATGGATAGATTTTGTCCTATAGTATTTCCCTTGTATCGCTAATGTAGCAAAATTTTCCAGAGCTTTTCCCGTGACCCGATTCCTACTATCCGAATGAAGCTGTACAGTGACTCAATCCATAGGAATTAGAACCCTTCATTTTTCCCATGTTCTTACTCCATTTCAAATGAGCCCTTAGTAACTTGTTCATTTCTCTTCAGAACAAGACAAGCCAGGTAGACATGACGACGATCTTTCCCTATCATATACTCCTAGCTATACGCACCCATATTAACCCTAATTGTGTAACATAGATTTTTTTAAAAAATTATATTAATCTCTACTATTATAAAAATTGAAGATGTTTTTGCTAAAATTTTGATACGTCATTCATGTTTAAACCGTTTTTTTAAATTCATTGATCATATTTTGTATGGAATCGGACACGGACATTTTGTTGAACGGACGAGGACTTTTTGAAACTGTGAGACACCAATAATGGAAACCATGCAAGGCACCGGTGGGAAACCCAATCATACTCAAACTCATGCATGGCCTGGCAGCCACATCAGTGATCGATTTAGAACGAGTGAAGTTCGTAGTAGTAATTAAGGATATTAAAATAAAAATCAATGTAAAACTGAGCACATGCATGGTTAACTAAAATTTGCAATCTCCATTTCTATCTTTATCTTCTTTACTATTATAAAAATAAATTGAAGATATTTTCATCGATACTACATCGTCTATATTTGATCAGTTTTTAAGTTTATTCGCTTTTAAAAATACACAAAGAGTCGTATAAGAAATTCTTTTAAAAAACTCATATGCCAACTTGAGATGAGAGTCAGAGTCCTAATTGCTTTAGAATTCTTGCCACGTTATAAGAAAGTAACATGCATGATATAGCCATTAAGGATTTTAGATTAAATATGAATACTATCAAAATAAAAATCGCATATACTTTTTAGACAAAACAATCTAGCAATAATACGATTAAAATAGCCTTCACCCGTTGCAACGCACGGGCATTTTTCTAGTTAAGAAAAAATTAAAAAAAATCCTAACTATCAAATATATTTAGCTGGTAGTATATCCTACAAATAGAAATCAATCTCTTTAATCAGTGTATTATACAAAGGTCATTAATTAAGATGTTGAGTTACATTCAAATTCTACATGAAACTTTAGCAGTATACACTACGATATTTTTTTCCAAAGGATAAAACAAACAAACCACCATACAAACATATACATTTAGATATTGTTGCCCAAGTTTGTTACAGAAGCTATTGAAGAAAGCATGAGTACATGCTACTCTTCCATGCATGGTTGGAAAGTAATTTTATTATTACATACTGTATATGCCAAATCATTGATATAATAAACAGATTGAAATCCGAGTATCTTGACAGAATAAACATTCTAAGGAAAATCAAAATCCCAAGATACATATGCCGCCAAAGGTTATTGAAGTCGACGTAGTCTAAATAAAACATGTTACACGCACGAATGGATGGGTTAATTGATAACTAAGTTTGACATAATGATATGCATATGACATTATTTGGTGTTCATAGGACCTGTACTTATCTTACTAATGCTAATTGGTGGCTATTATTATATTCTATAAATTTCCTCGCGTTAATGTCTTACTCCTATTAGAGAGCTAAGAATTCTCATGTTAATTCAAAACTATTGAAATTTGTTATAAAAGAAAATACCTGTCAAGTTTATATAACTTTAATTTGTACGTGTAACTTGTAACTTTTTGCAGGTGGTGGGTGCGGACATCCTGTTCTAGTGTCTCCGATACCAAGATAGGCACAACAGCCTAGCTAGCTGCACACACCGGCTAGTTCAGTCAGTTGTAATAAAAAAAACAATACCTAAATAAGTGATGGAACTATGAACTACCGATCGATATGAATTATGTATGTGCGGATGAGAATAAGGAAAACTGCATAAGGCCGGCGTGCGCATTTCTGGATGATGTAGCACCCATGCATGTGTACTCGATCATGCTTTTAGGCCCCATTTGAATCGTAGGATGAAAAAACAGAGGAATATGAAAAACACAGGATTCTGGCAAGAATACAATTGTAAAACAGAGGATTACAAAACATAGGAAAAACAAAGAAATAACCATTTGATTGGACCACAGGAAAAACGCAGGAATCAGATGAGAGAGATAGACTCAGAGGAAATGTTCCAAGAGGTTTAGACCTCTTGCTAACTTTCCTCCAAAATGTACATAGGATTACCCATTCCATAGGAATTTTAAAGGATTGGATAGGATTCAATCCTTTGTTTCAAAGGCCCTCATAGGATTTTTTTTTCCATAGAATTAAAATCCTCTAAAATTCCTACATTTTTTTTCTACAAATCAAAATCAAAGGGGCCCTTAGTTAATGAAAAATCCTATGGTAGGGAGGGGGCCTTACCCTCCCGTCTATCTAAAAAATAAACATTGTGCATGACTCGAACAACATATATGGGTGTTTTTTTGAGCTGAATAGCTGAGTGGATGAATAAATTAATGATTTGAGATAATTATTTAAGGATACAAATGAACGAATTAACTATAAGGTTGAAAAATAGATTTCAAACAATGTTATAAGAAATTCAGGGTCTGTTTAGATACCACCCCAAAACTTTACACCCTATCACATCGAATGTTTACATTCATGATGTATTAAATATAGACTAAAAAAATAACTAATTGTACAAATTGTGACTACTTTGCAAGACGAATCTTTTAAGCCCAATTGCTCCATAATTTGACAATGTGGTGCTATAGTATATATTTGCTAATGATGGATTAATTAGGCTTAATAAATCTGTCTCGCAGTTTACGGACGGAAATTGTAATTAGTTTTTTATTAGTGCCTAAACACGGGGCTTCTAATGGGCGATTGGGTAGCGATCGATCCCCCTCCCTCCCTCCACCTGGTTTCTTTTTTTTGGCACCGTATTACTTTCCTATTTTAGTAAATTTATGCACCTAAAGTTTATACACCTCAAGTTTACACATCTAAAGTTTAGAGACCAAAAATTTATATGTCAAAAGTTTATATATCCGATTCAAATTTGAATTTGAATTCAAATATTTTTCATATATAGTATTTCTATACATCTAAAGTTTATACACCTAAAGTTTATAGAGCTAAAGTTTATAAGTCAAAAGTTTATATACCCGTTTCAAATTTGAATTTGAATTATATCTGATTCAAATTTGAGTTTGAATTCAAATATTTTCTATATATAGTATTTCTATACATCTAAAGTTTATACACCTAAAGTTTATAGACCTAAAGTTTATAAGTCAAAAGTTTACATACCCGTTTCAAATTTGAATTTGAATTATACCCGCCTGAACACCCTATGTGACAATCTATATAATACCCGGTGTGACATGCCAAAATTTTACACCCCTGAATCTAAACACACCCTCAGATACAGAAATTGTGTAATACCACCATGTTTGGTGGAGCTTCTTGAAAGTAACTGTATAGAAGCGGAATACTTTGTTTAAATTTGTGTTCAAGTGATACTGGTGCACTAAAAACAAAGTAAAGAAAAATCGGGCAATAATATCCTCATCCCCAAGTTATTACCGGTATAGAACAAAATAGGGAGCAGCAAGCCAGCAATGATGCTAAATAGAACTGTTCCGTAACATGCGGGGAGAGAATCCCCATCCGCTAGAAAATCGATTTGGATTGCATTTTGCGCTCGGATCTTACGGACAAAGAGTCCAAAATAAAACGAAGAGAGGGTAGCCCGCAGTCCGCACCACTTCGTCGGGTCTCTGGCTGACTGGGCTCTCTGCGGCGTCCGTGGACTGTGGGCCTTTTCCATTCCGCTTTAGAGCCCAGCTACTTTTGGCCGAGGCCCGATCCAGTCCAGCACGCGCGCCTCCTCGCCCTCGCGTTTCTTCTCGTTCGAGCGCTCGCCACAAGCGGCTCCACTTCTCCGCTGGTGCGGCGACGGCGACGGCGACGGCGACGGAGGCCCTTGCGCCGGAGAAGCCCATGCCGCATCTACGTCCGACAGCCTGCGACCAGGTTTGTTTCGTGCGTTGTTTCTCTGTACGCGTGTTTGCAATGGCGTCGGCGTCGGCGGTTTGGTTGTGGTGGGTGTTCGCCACGCGTGCGCGCGGTGTGTTCGTGGAAATGCCCATAAGAATGCCATGAGCCTGCACTTGCACATGCAATCGGAAAATCGCCGGTGTTAGTTTCAACGATTTAGCTAGGAGAATGATTATGACGCAATTAGCTGGAGCGCATCATCGGATTGCCATACTTTTTTGTGGATTATGGGGATCTGAACTTTGGGTTTTGTTCATGGTTCCATCATGCAAATAGGGGTGTATTATTCTACTACTCTTTGACATGGCATCTGTATGGTCAATTGCACAGGGGGAGTAGGAGTGGATTAGTTTTCATCGAATCATCCGTTGATCGGAAAACCTTGCTCAGCAATGTTTCTTATATATTTTATTTTTTTCTTTCGTTTGGGTTTTTAGGGTCTGGTTAAACAACAGATGCCATACAATATGTATAATATCGTTTAGACCAATAAAGTTTATCATGCATACAAAATTTTATGGAATCTCAATCTAATTAGGAATGATAGTTAAAAACATCAGCAAACAAGCTTAGATAGGAAATTTAATGGCAGGTTATGGCAAAAACAGAATAGTTGGATTTGGACAATTTAATACCAAACGTAATTCATTACAATTATAAAGCATATCCAGGGCTATACAACTCCGATCACCCAAACTTAAGACTTGTTTCTGATTATGACCATAGACTTTTTGATGCAGCCATGTTTCTAGGCGTCCATTAGGCATATATTGCAAGATGATTGCTTTGTATTCTAAACCTTTTGGATCCAAGGTGGAACATAAGGTGATGACTTTAATAAGATTGCGATGTCGGATGTTTTTCAAGGCTTCACACTCTGCAATAAAGCTTGTTGGTCCTCCGTGCCTATTGAGATTGAAGACCTTAATAGCTACTAGATCAACCTCAAACTCCAGGGTGCCCTTGTAAACATCTCCAAAGGATCCTGAACCAACCAAGTTTTCAGAAGAGAACCCTTTTGTTGCTTTGACAATATCTTTGTATGAAATTATCGTCATATCCATGTTATTGTCTGTCGATATTTGATTTCTTCTCTTCTTTTCAGCGGACAGTGAGCAAACATATCAGTGAAATTACTACAACAATTGCAGCAACTGGAACCACTATCATTGAATAATGAACTAATACTTTGTTCTTGTGTCTAAATGCAGGACAATGAGGAAGCCCTAACTCTGGGGTTGGGCCGTCCCTTGGTAGGGCCCCACCCTAACGGCCCAATGAGAGATACCCAAGCCCGCAGCAGCTGCAGCACCGTTCGCTCCGAGAGTGGCTGCGCGGGAGACGGCGCGCTACGAGCGTGAGAAAACGAAGGGTTGGTTTGGTTTGTGGTCTAAATAGGCCTTACCAAATTTTACCAATGCTAAATTTTGGCAAGTTTTAGCATGACTAATTTTGGTAAGGCAAAGTTGTGTTTGGATTGAAGCCAAAATAGCCTAAGTTCACTATTGAAATGGCCTATTTTCTTAGGCATGCCAAAATTTGGCTTCAAACCAAATAGACACACTATTGAAATTGCCAAATATTGATATCCCTAATTTAGGCCTAAGCCAAACCAGCCCGAAGAAGCCGGGCCCACTACTGCCCGAGGTTCGCACGCGGGAGGGAGTGGAGCGATGTGGACGCAAGGAGAATCGAGCACGTCGGCCCGAATTCGCCCGGAGCGCAGCAATTCGCCATCATCTTTAATTTACCCCGATGCTATAATATTATTATGAAGTATTCAAATTACTCCGGATCTTCACTAATAGTTGCATATAATGTTATAATTTATAATATAAACATGTAAGTGTAACTTACGTGCCCTTACCCTTATGATATGTTATTTCCGATGGTTTATTCAACTAATTTCATTTTTTTTATTTTATAGTGTCTCGGTAGAGTACCGATATCATTTTTGTTTCTAGCTCTAATGTTTCAATTGTTTCCGAGAAAAAGATCTACTTGGGAAACGATTTTTAGATCTGGTTTACAACCCCTTTAAATGATTCTTAGATCCGGCTTACAACCTCTTTACTACCGGTTGTAGCAACCCAGTTAGCAAGTGAAAAACATATGTGGGGTGTGAGAATCGAACTCAAGAACTCTCACCTTAGTCCTCACGCGTATAACCATCCCACCTACTACACACAATTGACTTGAATAGATATGCTTTCCTTTTGAACTAACCCTCGAGACATCTTTATTACCGGTTGGTAACACAAATCCGAACTAAAGCGATCTTTAGTCTGGGTTGGTGTTACCAACCGGTACTAAAGATGCATTGTTAGTACTGGTTGGTAATACCAACTGTGACTAAAGATGTTTATAGGGATTTAGATTTTTAGAACCGGTATTAAAGATACTTTAGTACCGGATTTTAATCTAACCGAGATATTTTTGATTTTGGGTATCACGTCGAAAGATCAATTCTCTGGTAGTGAATACGGTAAAAGAAATATAGTTTCAGGGTATGGTACGCCGAGAATTGGTGGTGTACATTGATGATATTGTTATTATCCCTCAGCTCGAGGAACAACATCTCCTGAATCTGAGGAAAGCATTCGCAGTATAAGTTTCAAATGAATCCTTTGAAATGCGCTTTTGTTGTTTCGGCTGGTAACTTTCTCGTATTCCCGTCAGAAGGGGATCGAGAAAATTAAATATAAACTAATGGTTTGCGGCATATTTTTATGCGGGTCTTAGCAAAAAAAGGATTGAGTTATTTCGAGAAATATATTAAACCAACTCCAATCCTTTTACCAATTAACATATTAGAAGATTTCACAAAACCATTACGCTTAGTTTTCGACTTTTCGGGATGTGGAGAAGATTGGAGTAGAGAAGGCTTCCTTCTGGGCTTTTTGATTTGAGTGTCAGGGCTTTTCAACGACTAGAAAGCTCTCTATGACGGCGGCTAAGTCGAGGAGTAGGCAGGCAAGAGTGCTTTTTTTGGGCTCAACCTGTATAGGTACTGTGTAAGGTTAGCTCTATTGGGCGCCGCACTTACTTATTGTAAAGCATGCGCCAGAATGCCCAGACATAAACTATATATGATAATATGGTTTTTAACAAACTTGTCTCTCTTTATATTCTAAGAATTGTCCGTCCTTGTCATTTTACTTCTTACGTGGGATTTATAGACAAAAGTTAGCCCGGATTACTAAAGAGCTTTGTTGCGGGAAAAGGAGGGATTTGCTGAGTTCAAAAGCAAGAGTACGGGAGTATTTTTCTGGCCATTTTCGTCCCTAAAGACGCATTTGCGCATGGCGGCCGAAACAGCTGTGTATAGTACGTACTGCACACAGTTGCTGCCTCCGATCGAGGGGCCGACGACGTCGTCGTCGTCGATAGCTAGCGCAGCCTGTATTAGCCGCGGCCAATGGGAGGCCGGCCGGCGAGCATGGGGGAGAGAGGAAAGCTTGTATTCACCGCGTGCTCGTGCTACTGGCATCGAGGCGATAAGAACCTATCAGGAAGAAAGAGACAAATAAGGAAAACTACAGGATCGACGTACGACTGTGTCGATCGAGTCTCAGCTTTGCTTCTCTTTATGTACTGTATGTTCTTTTCTGCAAGATCGACTTGGAATGAAACACCTAGCGTCGTAATTACATTACATGAGTATACAGTGTGCCGTTCGTTCATTGGTAAAACATACAGCTCGATTCAAAAACCAGTGACTAAATAAGAAGCTGCAGGATTCGACAGTACAAGCTATAGCTAGAAGAAGCACCAAACTGTCTCATTTCCAATGTGATAGCCTGCATCCATGGTACGTGGTACTCCTTCAGTTATAAAATATAAGCATGTCTAGGATTAAAAATAACATAAACAATTTCTGAAACATTGATTCTGATACATAGAAATACATACATTTTAGAATCTAAGCAGTTCAAATTTCAAAATTTGATCACTATGGTAACTAGAAAGGAGATTCTGTCTCAACTTTAATATTTAATAAATAAACTAGGTAGAAATCTTATATTTTAAAATAGAGTAACCACCAACCGGTCATTTATTTTTTATATTACCACCACTACACAAAACATCAAATAGGTATCGGCACTATATATAGGCCTTTTCCTATTTCCGCGGGTTGAAATCGTAAAAAAAACAGCACCTTTAATCAATTATAAGTACCGGTTCTAAATCAATGAGCCGACCGGCAATCAGATGAGCCAACCGGCAGGCCCCACCACAACAAGGCGATGAGGAGATAAGGTTTGATCTCGCGTCTCTCTCGTCTCGCTCTCTTCTCTCCGTCTCCCTCCCTTCTCTCTCTCTCTATCTATCTATCTATCTATCTATCTCTCTCGCTGCTGGCGGCTGGCCGATGGAGGCGGCAGCGGCGACCATCCCCTCCGCCAGATCCGGCGGGAGGGGAAGCGACAGTGGGGTCGGCGGTAGGCGGGGCGGTGTCAGCGGTGGGCGGGGGCAGCAGGCTCATCGGGGGTAGGTGGCAGTAGGCGGAGGGCTCGCCAGCGGGAGGCGGTGATCTACCGCAGGGAGGAGCCCTCCCCTCCGCCAGATCTGGCGGGAAGGGTGGCGGCGGTCGGCGGGCTCGCCGACGGGAGACGGCGCGACGGGAGGTGGCGCGACAGCTCGAAGATGACCAACCATGCGACGGCGATGATGGTGGATCTAAAGAGGTGTGTGTCGACGTTTGATGTCTCGACTACGGTATTTGGACAGTACGAGGATCGTTGGTGCTAGGATATACGCGAGACTGAGATAAAAAAGATGGAGACAGGGATTTTTATACAGGTTCGGGCCCCTGAGTTGTCAGGTAATAACCCTACATCTTGTTGGCCGAAGCCGGTATTGCTCTTATTCACCATAATCACACCAGTACAATATGTGGGTAGCCTATCTAACTGTTGTCGACATGGCGGTCTGAAGGTCTGACTCGTAGTCGACAACAGGGTAGCCTTCCTCCTCGAATCCATGTCCAGCGAGATCAGAGATAGCGCTTTCGTATCTCCTGACGGTATCCGGAGACACCGTAGGGGAATAGCCATGCCTATCCCTGAAGTCGATATCCGGCGGCGTGTCTTGGCGTATGTAGACTTCTATGTTGTGGCTTCTATGTCGATTGTGTTGGGTGTTGATCCTGTCGATTGTCTCGTTGTGGGTGTCCCCCTGTCCTCCTAGGGGGGCTTGTATTTATACCCATAGGTGTCCCCTTATCAAAGTAGAACTAGGGAAACCAATATGGATACAATCCGAGTAGTCCTTGTCGTTTTCATGTAGAACTCTAGTTGTCTTTCCTTATCCGGAACTCCCTCCATATCTGAAGTCGATTTCCGTATAGGACATGGCATGTGGTGGGTCCTGCCGAGATGTAATCAACTACTATTAGGTATGTGGTATCCATAACCATGACAGTAGCCCCCGACTTCGATGCAAATGAACGAATTCCTATTCTCAACCGCGCACAGGCATTGGAGTAACTGTTATCAAGCTCATGTGACTGTTCTCGGTGAGTTTAGAGATAACGTTAGACTTCCTTTGTCAGCCCCGTGCAGGCACCGAAAGGGTTTGTCTAAGTCAATCTCTGATGTCAACCGAAAAAGTACAGAGCGTACGACTAAGTCTCCCGTCTTGCTGTAGTCGAGAATTTGGATTGAAGTCAAGAAATTTTATCTCGGCGGGTACACCATCTCTTCATTCCGTATTCCTTGTCGAGATCCAGCAACCGTTCCCGAGCGATCGAGAAGGCGTAGAGTCTGCGACGGAGCCTTGTCGACATTGGTCGTACTTGCCTTAGTCGATCTTGGTGTAGAACCATAGAGACATGGAGTCTTCATCAATGTCGAATAGGATTTTCCTGAAATCAATACTCAGAAAAGAATATCAAATAGAAATAGCCCCCGAGCGAATGCTCAAAGCGTGACATGTTATAATATGTATGGTAAATTGAAAATGAATTAAATTTACCGACCAATGTTTTGTGTAAGAGTGTCTTCTCAGTTCACGACTTTGGTCAGTCGTTTGAGTTGTACACTCTCTCTAGCCCCCAGCCTTGTCGTCGGAGAATCGTTCTCGGAGGAGAAGGCTCTTGGACCCTTGACCTGCCTTGGTTGAATAAGCATTGATCCTAGCCCCCAGCCGTGAAGTTGGAAAAGTCAATTTTCCGATTACACGGCTTGGTTAATACGCACGGCGAAAACTCTTACACAACCAGATCTTACATGGTCTTTCGTCTCTGAAGGATCCGACAAGGCCTTATCGGCTCTGGGCGTCCCCAGTCGAAGATCCCTTAGGTTCCTCGGAGGCCTTGTCAAGACGGCGTAAAGGGACAGCAGGATAGGTTTCAACGCTAGGTGTCGTCGTGGTAAGGGATCTCTGGGTAAAACACTTGGCGATATTGTGTACCTGCTACCAACTTTATTGAAGTAGAGGTAGTGGGAGAAATCGGTACATCGCTGGTCGAGGAACAGGCAGTAGCCGCAACTTGACCACTGAAAGTGGAAGTAGTCGGAGAAACGCTACATCGCTGGTCGAGGACCAGGCAATAGCCGTAACTCGACCACTGAAAGTGGAAGTAGTCGGAGAAACGCTACATCGCTGGTCGAGGACCAGGCAGTAGCCGTAACTCGACCACTGAAAGTGGAAGTAGTCGGAGGAGTAACCGTAACTCGACCACTGAAAGTGGAAGTAGTCGGAGGAACACTGCATCGCTGGTCGAGGACCAGGCAGTAGCCGTAACTCGACCACTTGAAGCAAATGTACGAGAGATCACTACGATCAACTGGTTGAGAACCGGTGAGTAGGTGTCCCTCGATCACTTGGAGTCGTGGTAAGAGGACCGCTACGCTGCTGTAGTCGTACCTTGACCATCTGAAGTAAAGGTGCGAGAGATTGCTACGTACTAGTGCGA